AGTAAGAAAATAAAAATACACTTTAGGACCAGGGGTAAAGGATCAATAACAGTTTAAAATTTATAATTTACAGTTTGATGATTTAAAGTCTCACACACAACCCGTCGAAAGGGGAGGGGGGCTGGCTGCTTCCAAATAGAGCACATTTCATTCATAATGATGTAAATCCAAGTCCATTATGTATTCAGGATCTGAATCCTGGGTTATGTGAAATCCCAGAAATAAACCCTAGACAACGTGAATCTGTGAACTAAGGTGTAGGTCTGTTAGGTTATGTTGTGGTGATTCTCGGGTTGGGGGATGGGTGTTCATACTGAAGTGCAAAATTAAAACCACTGGAAGATGGACAAGAAAAGTTCAAATCCATCAGGTGCTCAGTTTAGAAAAAAGAGAAAAGAAGAGGAGGAGAAACGAGCAAAAGATACAGGTAAGCAAATGTGTCATTGGATAATGGCAGGTCATCCTGAAACAATCAGAATCAGAATACTTTATTAATCCCTAAGGAAATTATGTGGGTTACAGTTGCTCCAAGAAGAAATGAAATGAAAGAAATGAAAAAAAGAAACAGTAACAGACTAAACTCCAAACAATACATTATTTTACAGATTTTAATATTAATTAGTCATTGTTAATTGTTGATTTGTCCTGTTCTCATACTATGCATACTCTCTCTTCATATGTGTGTGTGTTTGTGTGCGTGCGTGCGTGTATGTTTCTGTGGTGAAGTTCAGTGTGGTTCCGACAACAGTTTTATGTTAATGTTCAATCCTTAATATGTTTTGTGGGCAATTCAGAAACGCCAAGTAACTTAACCCCACTAGCTGCATAGCTCTGGGCCGTGTAAGGAAGCTGGGCTACCTGGAGAGTAACACGTGCAGGACCTTCTTACTGTAAGGCAACGGTGCTAACCACCACACCACCATACTGGCGTGAAAAAAAAAAGTTTTTGTTACCATTCAGGTTTCCCTTTTCATTTAATTTCACTGGATGAATTAAAAAAACAAAAACAAACAAACATACATTTGGATCCTATTAAGGCATAAATTTAGGATGATGCCACTTTAATTGACCAGTGTTCTAAAACAGCTCAACAACAACTCCTACCCTGAGGCTAAGTTGAAAAATGAGAAAATTCCTTGTCTTAGGAATCAAAATTCTTTTTGGAAAACATGGACCCCACATCCTTTGAACTAAAGACAGGTTAAGAGGTTATCAGCTCTCACTTCAAAAGCCTGCATCTCTGATTGTATAGAGGTGCATGAGTCCACAAGAATACAACATTCCTCTCCCAAATATCCAGCAAAATGGACTTCTCAGTTCTCAAATATCCTTCTGGAGAATTGCAAAATCACATTAGCATGTAGGACCTTTTTTATTGTCTGTGTAGGGTCAGTTATCCAGGTCACGGTAGTCTTGAGTGCTTAAGAAAAGAAAGCAATTGGACTTCTTTAAATTTTCTGAAGACATTTTTACCTCTCATCCAAGAGGCCTCTTTGGTTCTAAAAGCAAATGGTGGAGAGTCCCAGGTATTTAACCCCTAGTGGGGGTTGTCTTGATGCATACTCAATCATCCAGGTAGGAAATTCCCAGAAAGTTGATTCTGTTCTCTTAGTGGGTGTTGTCCCCTTTAGACGTGGTCCTCGGGGTAGTTGGACTAGCATTGATCATGTCGTCACATAGGCCAAGGTGCACTTTAGACTCAGCAACACTCTTAAACAAAAACTGGTTCAACTCAAGGACAAGCTCCCAAACACAAGTTACACAGCACAGTGTATGTATATGTTCAGACCTCGAACCTTGTAGAACATAAACCTTCACTTGAAGAAGAAAAGCACACTCTTTCAATGATTCCAATGTTCACATTCTAGACTGAGGTGGTTTAAAGGGGAGGTAAAAGAGGACATCGTTCACTGTGAACGACCATGGCGACACCAGCTGTCCACCACCTACAGTGGAGTCTTGAGATGCATTACCAGGTGCTTCAACCCCCACTCACTGCCTCGGGTGCCTTCCACCGGTCACATGATGGGGTGGGACAAGGTCTCACAGTGGTTTCACCCTTAACCCCAATGGTGATTCTAACAATCCCCCCAGCCCACCCAATGTTTTCACACTTTGGCTCAATAGTAGGTCAATGACCCTCAGGGGGAAAACACACACACAGGGATAAAACTGTGAGTCTCCACCTTTTGTATTTAGAGCTGAAGAAGCCTCTCAGATGACAGGTGAAACATCTTCACATGCCTAAAAAAAATCTAGCTGCCTTCTTTACAAGCTGTTAAGACAGCCTTTCCCGTTACGCTAATATTAATGCAGAGAACAGCAGTGGTTGAAAACTAACCTGTAGTGTTGTGTTGTCTTGCACTTCTTTTGCATAGTCCACAAAAAAGTTTGTAAGACTCCTTGGAAATATTGATTTCTATCACTAAAAGTGTGCATTGTCCACGACAGCTGGAACAGGCTCCAGAGGCCTGTTTAAATGAACTTTTTTTTTTTAAAGGACTGGCTATAAGTCTTGCAATTATTCAGTGTAAGATTTGTGTGACCAACATAAGTCTGACAGCGAAACTCTGTTACATGCCACAGTTTGCAGAACATGTTATTACACCCAAAACAAGACAAGTTAACTGCACCTAGCTGATGCATCATGGGAGGAAATACAGTTTTGTCATCTAAAGAGACACACCTAGAGATAAAAGGAGCACTTTTCAGAAAAGTAAACAGTATTATGACTATGAAGGTTTTCTTTTCTCCTACAAATAGAATTCATGATATAAATGTAATAAAGGAGGATGAGCTAGTTAAACATTTAGTTCTCAAACTGTGTGTGCAGAGAACCATAAGCAGAAGCGTGAACACTATTGGAGACTTGAGACAAATCTGGGCAGGTCAGGAATTAGCCTGAGGCAGGTGACTGACACACACACACACACACACTTTTATGAAACACAATTGATGAAACGCACACCATGTGCATGTCATCTAGAGTCATCTACTTTCAGTGCCTGGTGGATCACTTTTAATCAGAATCAGAATACTTTATTGATCCCTAAGGGAAATTCTTTTTCGTTATAGTGCTCCGTTATAAACAACCATTAGCAAAGACAGAAGAAAACAGAGCTAAACTAAGAGAAAAAGCAGGAGCGACTGTAACAGGCTGCACGCTGGTTGGCGCATGCGCACAAAAAAAGCTTTAGGTGAGAACTGTCTAATTTCACATGTTTCACATTGCGAAGGTCTGATATGCATCATTAATTTATGGTGTTTGCAGACTAACGACGCAATCACCACAAGAGCAACTAAATGTCACATGCTTAGAATATAAATCAGTTTGTAGTATGAATTAAATATTATCGCAGCAAATGATTAGCAGACAAGCCAGACATCCTTTATTAAACAAAGGAGGATTTACGTTTTTATTTCTCTCTGACTCTTTGTCTGCTGATCTTTCTTTTCTTTGTAGAGCTTAACAGACCAAAACATTTGGTAACCTTCTCTTATATTTACATTTTCACTTTAAGGTTTTCATTATGTTACATGACATTATTCATGCAATATTCTGCAATCAAATAGCCTCAAACCAGACTTGCATTTATTCAGCTCTGTGTCTTTGCATATCCTTACCTCATTTACACCCTTCGATCATGAAGACAGAGAGAGTGCAACAGGTTCGTATGATTTTGTGGTCAGCTATCAGCTTATGCTCAGACTGTGTGTCATGCTAAAACTAAGTCAATAAATCCAAATATTTATGTGCCTCTGGTCCCCAAGAGCAGGGTTTTTTCGTTTGTTTTGGGGGTTTTTTTCTTTTTTTCAAATGACCCAGCTACAGGCTTTAATATACGTTGCCTGTTAAGCCTGTGGCCAATGTAATCCTCCCTGAAAGCACACATATACTCAGGAGATCAGACCGTCAAACCAGACTGACAAATACATAAGGTTAAAAATCCGTTGCATATCCGGCTTTAGCTGAGTTAACAGGAAATTTGAACATTTCCGGTGTCATTACATCATCATTAGCCTGCAACTGTGATTTTCTCTCTTTTAGAGAGCAGATAACCAAATTTTGGATCGCTCAGCCCACTTACAAAAGTCAGGCAAAAGTTTGCTTGACAGACCAGAAAACACATTTTAGCAACAACTAAACCTTACCCTAGCCCATGTGAGGAATGTGAATCCCATAATGCCACACTCAGGATGTCGGTTTGTAGGAATGTGTTTGCCACCACCCACAACTCGGCAGCTGGTGTTGATTTTAATCTCAGTGTCACGATCATGTAAGCGGATTGTGATTAGACACAGTTGTGACCGATTCTATAGATTTTGGCCATGTCTACAGAAGTGTGCGCACGTCCTTCACCCTAGTTTTACACAAATATTTGAACAACCACCTGTTTTTGCTACATTCTGCGTTCTGGCCCACAGAAAGCCACAAGGTTATTTGCTATCTCCTTTTTCTCTCTCTCTAAATTAACTTAAGCTACTTTCACAGATGAATAAGCAACCCATTGCACTCAGCAGGAGATAGTCCACACTAGATTCTGTTCTCACCATTGGAAATACAGTCTTTGGCTGTCTGGGTAGAGCGGGAAGCCAACAGGACAGCCATTGCCTCAGTGAATTCATGGACAATCACCCAGTGGTGTTTTGTCAAGGCCTTGTCAAATCTAAAAATAGATATAATTGAACATACCAAAGTAAAACAATGTCTCTCAACTTTCATCTTGGACATTGCTGTCATAAAGCTTCTCACCTTTTTCCATCAATCCATATGTTACTGCCATCTTGTGAGACAGTCAGCTACTGCCACTGAAAGTTGGGCTTGTTAGGTGCTCATAGGAAACTGTAGCTGTCTGTCTCTTTCTTTGTATGGGTGTGGCCATCCCTTGTTGAAATGAGTGGAACTGGGCAAGCTGACCATATCTAGTCTAATGAAACAGGCAAGATGAAGGCTCACAGCACTTTCAGGTTAGCATCTACGCGATTGTCTCAATCTAATATGTTTAACCAGCTACTTTGCCAGCACTTTACATTCATTTTTCATTGGTATGGACCAATAACCATATTACACCCTGCTCGAGCTTTTTAATTCAGCTGATTTTCTTTTTGATAACAAATTTTAATATTACTTTATTTTCAAATAAAGAAGCAGACCTGTGTTTTTGAGCTTTTAGTTCTGTTTTGTTTTTTTAATTTAATGGATAGGTGGTCCACACAGGACAGCCACTACAAACATCTGATTTATAGAATATGATGATGGTAATTAAACAGAATATGAAGTATTACACTATGTGGGACCACGTCCTCATTTAGATTTGACAGCATTTCTAGTAGATAATGGCAGATGGCTTGAGCATGAATTGAGGCTGCGGTTCGGGGAATGCCTCAGAGGACTGGCTGCAGCTCTCGAGCCAGGCAGATCCCCATGTAGTAATGCAAAGTAAATGAATTGGAAATTGCAGGGAGGGTTGGGCATGTAAACAAGAACGTAAACAAGAACACCAGACTGGAACAGGTGTCTATGGAGATGTGGTCCTACTCCTGAAATTCAAATACATCATCTATAATTCAAATTCAACCTTAAATATTGGCAGCAGTAATATAAATCCTCCACTTGTTGTCGTCAACTAATAGTAAATAATATTTGGAGTATAGTAGCTATTTATTTAAATATAGCAGTAATAAAATTTTCCAATTGTTCAACCAGGAGGGAGTGCAGAAACACGTCCATGTAGATTGCAGACAGCAAGTCTGTTTTTAACTGATCCAGTTTATCTTCAATTCCTAAATAGTGGAAGCAGATGTTTTTGTTTGTGTGTGCATCGCCCGGTGTACGTCCTTACCTTTCTGTAAAATTGACCACATGCCGTTACTTCCCTCTGGCTTTGTACTAGAGAGGTCACAGACTGAAGATTTTTTAAATCAGACATTTGTATTAATACCTGCTGATGTTCAAAGTATCCCAGAAAGGAGTGGAGTCTCTCACAACAACCCAGTATTTAAGCAGACACCGATTTCTGTGTCTAACTGCCTTTTTCCTCTTTCCTGTACAGCATAATGTAGTTCCCATAAAAATAGACCTATTTTGAACAACATGGAGTGGAAAGCCAATGCTGGGACTGAACACACTGGAAGACATCCAAGCACTGTCTTAATTGGGAGCAATCACAGTCATGTCCAGTGTATTTCTGGGGTAAGTCCATACATGGAGAATACTGAATCTGGAAACTAAATGTGAACAGGAAAAAAAACACGTACACAATGAATCCAATAAAGAAACAAAGAAATGTCATTTCTCTGTGCTCATGAAGCACAAAGACAACCTGGGAACTTGCAGGAGATGCTGACTGCCTATACTAAGCTGAAATGGCTAATTAGAAACCAAATGGGAAGAGGAAGTAAAACTGAAAGAAAAAAAAAAACCCAAACAAACAGAAAGATTCTTTAACCTAAACATAACCAAAACTGTGCTAGTTAGCGTTGCTAATTGTCTTTCTGCTTAGCAAGCAAAGCAAAATTAACTGCACGCTTACACAAGAAGATATGGCCGTAGATTTATAAAACAGAATGCCGCTGGAAGCCAGCATTTTAGGTGTACACCTAACCACACAATAGCTGAAAATAAACATAAAAACCTCGTGTTTTAAAGTAATGGTCCAACGAGGGAGTTGAACCCGGCTCCAAAGTAAGAGTCTTATATTCAATAAGTAACTACCGCTTTAAGCCAGACTGTTTTTGTCAGTTTCTAAGCACAAGGGAAACTATGTTCCCACAAGAACACAGCTACCAATTAACCATCCAGTGGCATTGTTTCTTTGTTGTAGCTATGTAATTTTAACACATCACTTACCACCACATGATTAATTATGAAGAGGTCATGAATAATTCACATATTTCTGTGAGTTGTTGCTCCCTTCTGTTTCAACCAGCTGACAAATGGTGAACGAAGGTTGACTTAGTTTAGCTCTTGTGTGTCCTGTGGACTGGTCGCACAGCACATGGTAGGGCACACATTTTGGCTTTAGGAACAAGTTGGCAGAGAAAAGAGGTTGCTAGACTTGTGCTCATGCATGTTCATTTCCAGCATCAGTCATCTGATGTAACCACAAGCTCATTTTCTGTGGTGAAGTTTAGCTTTCCTTAGGCATCCAACAACAACATAGCTATTTGGCCTCACACTACAAAAAGGAAAACTATGTTTTCATAGTGTTTCATTGCAACACACTTGAAAGCGCAATGCCACAAACAGTAGTACATATTGCTTGGTGTTGATGTCTGATTTCTGTGCCTTGTGTTGCAATCATGTTTGCAGGGTTGGGCCAGATTATTATATAGTCAGTTACTCAATGCAAATAACAACATATTGTAATTAATAAGTCAGTTAAACATGTGTATTATTGTATCTGATCAGTATTCTGACAACACTTAAAATATCTTACACTTTTTTTTTCAAAGCTAAACAAATTGATTTTCCAAATTAAGCATTAGCTGATGGTCAAATTTAACATTGCTTGCAAAAACAGTACTGTAGTACATTACTACTTTACTGTAGTACATTCTGTGTGCTCTTACCTTGCACTAGCATCAGACTGAAAATTTTTACTTTAAAGAAGTATTCAAAGCATAATCCTTATTGATGAGGCCATAATCTAACATATTTACACATTTTGTTAAATATCATCTACGGGTGTAGTTTCTTATTTTTAGAGTGACTACTACAAATGTTGTTGGCGACTAATTTGTAGTTGATTAATCATGAGAAAAAGCAAATCCAGTTAATGATATTTGTAATAAACATTGGCAATGCAAATACTAGGGGTGTATATACAAGATATATGGGACTGTCAAAGTCTTGGTTAATAAGCTTTAAATGACACTGAAATGTATGGAACCTTGCACCGTATACATGTGTGGCTAACATTAGTAGTGCTAGCACCAGTAGCCTTCCATCTCTGCAGGCTGGCATCTACACACCTGAGAACAGCCTGCATATAACCTTTCATTTTCTGCATCCGAGTACTGTCTGTCAACATTGGTTCACACAGCTGTCATCCGATTACTTTCCACTTTGTTTGTTGTGACAACAGCCCATCACAGAGGGAGAGGCAAAACCCATTAGCCTCGGGTAGTGTCGAACCATCTTTGTACATAAATTCTTAAAAATGTAAGAACAATATATTTACCTTGCGTTGCAATACCATTTGCATTTCACCTAACCAATGGAGAAGTGCTGTTGTATGATACAGTATCATGCACTGCTTGTTGTCACTATGGTAAGAGTCTGTGTACCGTCAGCTGCAGCTGCACGGTTAGGCACCCGTTCGTGTCACAGCATTTAGAAAGAAAAACAGAGATTGACTGCCTCTCCCAAAGAGCACTGCCAAGACAAATCTATGACTAAAATTTCAGACTGTGGATGACACAACTAGCAATGATTGTTTTTATGTTTGTTATGATTAGGACTGTTTGATTTAAATGGATGAAACTGTGTGGACATGGAATGACTGTTGTGATGGCTGTTGAAGACAACGCATCTTTCACAGATGCATCACAAGTTGAAATGACTCACTATGCAACAGCGCTATAGAATGAGCAGCTGTAGCAGATAAAGTATGAACAGTAACCTCATGTCCAGTGAAAGAAGGAAGAGCAGCAGCAACTTGCTCACACTTGCAGCTGGATACTGTCAGGGAGTAAAAATATCACAAAGTGTCACATCATCTCTTTTCTCTTACAGTTATGTTGTAGAAAGTATCTTGGCTGTCCATTCAGATATTCAATTATCAGTTAGCAACATAAACTTTAAGTCACACAAACTAATACGAATCCATATCTTCATGAGGACATCTTATATCAACTTAAGTTGATATCAACTGCTATCAACTAAAGCTGGCAAAAAAGTTGTCAAAGTTCCCTTGAAAAAAGATATTTGAATGTAGAAAAACATGTGGGTAGAAATCAGTACTAATTTCATGCATGATGTGAATTTTTTAGATATACCTATGAGGTTTATTTCACCTCTTTTTGGATATAATGTATGAATTTTGATTGCAAAGACTGCGTTTTACAGGTTTTGGTTGGCTGCTGTATTAAACTGAATTACAAAACAGTACTGTTTATCTGGTTAAAGCTCAGATGCTACTAATGTGCAGTATTTATTTTTGCATCTACTCAACCATTAATTCATATTTCGATTCAGCAAAGCAGTGACTTCACTCAGTAAGATTTAACGTATTACATCACTGGAAAATTCTCTGCAGCAATTTGCATTTGCAGAAAATCACCATAAACCAATGGTCAAAATACAAGATAGACTGTTAAAGCTGTATCGGGGCATCTTTTGTCCACCAGGTGGCAGAAATAATCAGAAACAACCCTAAAACAACAGTTGCTACAACTTTTGTATCAAGGTGTTCATGGACATATACAGGGTAGTATAAGCAATCCAAAAAAGGTGTGTTTCATAAATTTAATGTAGAAATACAACCTTTGCTGGAGTCCAAAGAGACGTCAGATTTTATGACAGTGTTTAGCAGAATGAGACGTACTTTGAAGCAAACCATCTTTAAGTTAATTTGGTATTTCACTGGACATAAGCACGAAGAGACTCCCTTATGAGGATTATTCTCTTCATCGGTTGCAGTTTTGATGCATCAGATTTTTACTGGTCAATAAAATCCAGTGTCTGTTCATGTGGATTTATGATGTATTTTTCTTTTGACCAAGTAATCACACTAAGACTACCTGGTCCAAAAAAAGACCAATAAATAAACAGAACTATGGGATAAAAGTACACATCACACAATGTGAAGAACCAATCCATCTAACAATTCTGTATTTAGGATTTTGTACACCATCTTAAACTAGGACCAACATTTTTTGAACAACAGAAAGTCGTTTAACAAATAGATCTTAATTACAACTTCCTAAAGTCGATACAAATAAAGTTAACAGTCTGTCACTGAGTATTAGATGGGCAGATGATGTGACAAATGCAAAGTAAAGAGCAGTTACAAGGCCTCTGAAACAGCACTGAAGGTTTACAGCATGTCGGCATATTAACATTATTACAAGAACTAGATATTGAGTGTCAAGAAAGTACCCTTTCATTCCAGTGAAGATTCACTGTCCCATCACACATCCTTGAAAAGTATACAATATGCAGTTGGCCAGCAATACACATTAGCAGCAGGAGTGATTCTTCCACACTGTTAAATCTGTGAAGATTAAAATTAACAACACTTTCCCTCCGTATTTTTTTCCAAGAGGGCATGAATTGAAGCAGTTTTGGTTAATTGAGCAGTCTAATATCTTGTGACACCTACAAATAGTTTATAGTAGCTTGCGGGTCTACTCCTACTGCAAATACCATGTCTATTTCATGTTATGAAACACAGACTGATCACAATTACTGTGACAAAATAGATATTTAACATACCTCATGACAGACCTTCTTCTGTAATGTAGGATGAACACAGCACCAAGTGTACAGGAGCTGAATTTCATAGGTGTTGAAATAAGTTACCAAGCTAAGCTAATAAGCTTCATCAATTCAAGAATTTAAAAAGAAGATGCAGTCTTGCGGGGATTCATCAATACTGAAAGTATTCAGACTACAGTACATGATGCATTCACCCTTTAAAAAAAAAAAAAAGAAAAAAAAAAAAACCAAAAAAAACCCCAAAACAAACAAAAAACCCCACTAACCATAGCCTTTACATTTTTCATCTATAGAGCACATGACTTTTGTAGGTCTGTCACGTAACCAGCCTCTCTCACTGACAGTTGCTTTTATTGGATAACAGCTGGCTTCTCATCCATTAGGGTCCTAAAAGCTAAACATGAAGAAATCCAAATAAAAACTAATCTTAGCTGCATTCTTTGCACATTCAAATTGTTTGCTGACAACAGTATTAACTGTTGGAATATCAGATAGCAATAATGCTGATATGGATGTGTGATGTTTAAAAATGTTGTGTTCAGCGTAGCTTTGTCCATTTAATTTTAACACCTCTTTGCAAATTCAACCTTCTCAGATTTGGTTATGAGTGAGCGCTACTTCATGATGGGAACTTATTTACTCCAGTATGATATGCACATCACATTAACATTGTCTGAATAAAAGAAAGTAGCTTAATAGCTTAAGGTCTTGCAAGACACTGGATGTTATAAAGGGACAAATTTTCTAAAATCACAAATTCTACACCATCAACAAGCGGGCTTGTTTGGAGACCATCTGTTAAATTAACATTTGTAGGCTACATAGCTATGGACTGTTTCAGTAGGTACATCGATGAACATTGACTTCCAAGAGACGATCAATGACTGCAAAGGAACTGCCTACTGAGAAGCTGTTTTATGCCATTTCATGTACATTAGCTACAATATGATCACAGCTTATATTTCTTAGAATTTAATTTTTGAATAACATGCAAAAGCTCTTTTAATCTGTATGTCATTTAACTATACACCAACAGACCTGGGGTCTTTACTACAAAGCAAGTTTGATGTACCTAGGATGTCAGGATATTTTAACCCAGGGTTCATCAATCTGGCTAAGAGCACATTCACATGAAAGGGTTGGTGCTGGCATCATCTGACCAATCACAAACATGGAAAATTCTACTGCAGTAGAGCATCTGGAAGACATGACTATCATATTAGAATAATACAATAGTGAGAGGATGACTGTGAGAGGGGGAAAGCGCTGTATAAATGTGTCTCTGTGAATCTAATCTGTGAATACCTTTCATGTTAATCAAATTGGGCATATTTAAAGTCAATAAGGAAAGCTAGCAGAAATGCTGATTGTATGGGCTAAGTTAACAGGCTTACCAATATCACCGCTCTATTGGTCTGAAAGTAAAATTTCAGTTTTCATTATTTCAGTTGCAGTCATGTTGCTATTTGAATGAGTAAACAGAATAAATATAAAAACAGAATTCAAGGGTACACGCCAATTTGATATTAGGTCTACAAAGACAAATGGGCACCCCGTTTTCAAAGGAGTAACTTTTGTAAAACAGTTTCCTGCCAAAGTCAGAGGGGTATTATTTTCCAGAGAACTGATTGGTCAGCAGGCAGTGATTTCTTACGTGTTCATATTTAATCTAGAGTATAATCTGCGCAGCAGCAGATTAGGACTGCTGCATAAATTACAAAATAAGTTCCCATTGCATGTAACTCGTTGAGAATGGAACTGCCTTCATAATACAGGAACCTTAGGGTTAACATTTTACATATTAGCTTGCTAACAAGCTAATAAAAAAAAACAAAACGTGATTTAACCGCAATCAAAGAAATCTGTGTGTGTGTGAAGATGCAGATTTCCACTAAATGGGCATGTTGAGTCCATGTTAAGGTCTTCTGTTTAAGCAGAACGGGCTCAGATTGATTACTTACCTGAAGGAATGTCAAGGTACACTGTCAGGTGTTTCATAATAAAGGACAGCTAATGCCTTTTGTTTCGCTGTCAATAAGACACAGTGTGATCATTTTCACCTGACTCAGTCTATAAAAGAGATGGCTTTTCCTTTGCATTCACAAGTTATTAAAGTCATTCAACAGTCAGCTGAAAGTTGTCACGACAGCTTCAACTGAAATGAGTGCCATAAACATGGTTTGTCACATTAGCATTTTTCCATCATTTTAAACTCAGGGTAAGGTAAAGAGAAACAATGACCAGCAGCTCAATCTTTAGTGGCAATTTTAGTGAATTCTGAAAAAAAGGGGTTCAAAGTGTATTCCTGAATTCTAAAGAGAAGAGTACAGAAAATGTGGTATTTTTCAACTGCTACAAATTCTGTAAACAAAAATACATGAATAGCATAAGCAGATAAAGCAGGAAACTATTGACAGCCCTAATGAGGAGCCACAATGTCTGTCAGTTTAATCATGTTGGTTAAATGCTTATTAAGACTACCCATTAGTTCATAGTCTTCTCTTCATCTCCAGTCTCTTCCAGGTTCCTGCAACATTTAGTTGTTTAACCTAACATGATGATTATTGCTTCTCTACGCTATGAAGCTAGTATGCCTCACTATTTTGACCAAAAAGTAAAAACGACAACTCTTTCAGGTAAACAGTCAGTGAGAGTAGGAACAACACATACACACACACACACACACACACACACACGCTCACACCCATTTAGTCAATCAATGTGAACATTGCAGAGTCAACCACTCACATATCAGTGAATTTAAAATTTATGTTCAAAAGGTAAGCCACACATACACATAAGACACAGAAAAGACATACATGGACCGAGTCACCCAAGTGACAATCCATAGAACCAGCTGAAGCACCCCCGTAACGTGTGTTTCATCTCACACTGCTGTGTGTTTTGAATTCTCGTTTTCCTTCATTGGCGAAGAGGCAATATTCCTGTTGAACTGGCTGAAACTGGCTGCCCTGCATCTTGCCCTTGGCCCTCCTCCTCCTCGGTCCTCTCCAGCTGTGGGCCCCGATGGTAAAGTACTGTAGCGACCCGGGATCGGCAGATCCTGCCCTGGGGGGAGCGTGTTGCCACTGGGGTGGAGGGTGGCATCCTTGGCAAACAGGCGCTGGATGAGTTGTAATTTCTCCTTCTCCTCCTGTAAAAAGACATCGACCAGGAGCTTCTTTTCCCTTTTGAGCTGCTCCACGATGGTTTTGGGAACATCAGGAATCACCCAGGCAACCACGAGGCTGAGGAACATCACCAGGTTCTTGAAGAATAGGAGAAAAGTGGGAATATAAGTGATAGAAAGACTGATGCATGTGGAAACAAGTGCGATTGATGATAACCTGTGACAGTGACATACTGTATATCAACCATATCAATGTCACTGAGCCATTATGTCAAAAATATATACGCGGCTAGAGTAACACGCCAAAGTTGAAATAATGGATCCTGGCACTATTACAATTGTCCACTGGGTTATACCTGAGAACCAGCTGATCAGTGATGATCCCTGATAGCAATTTGGACCAGTTTAATGCAGAAGCTGATGTTTGCCTTTGTGCAACTTTGAGGTCTTTGGTCAAATCAAAGACAAACCAGTTCAAGTGATGAGAACGAGAAGGTACAGTCTGTAAATTTTTCACCGCAACACGTCAGTAGATTGAAGATTGCATTCATCTGTAGTGAGCAGAGATGGGCAGTAATGCATTACTGTAATCCGATTACTTTTTCAAGTAACGTGTAAAGTAAGGGATTACTATTGCAAAAAAAGGTAATTAGATTACCGTTACTTTCCGGTAAGCACACTGCGTTACTAAAACCATGATTTTTTTGTGAGTGTCTCATGACAATGATGTAAGCGAGTGCGACGTTCGTGGCATATATCGAGTGCGGGAGAGAGTATGCCTGTGCAGCTTTTAAAGCGTGGAAGCACTGACCTTACTTTGAGCTTAATTCCGTAAAAAGTGACAAAAACATTAGCGTCCGCTGTTCACTGCGTGGGAAGAAAACTTCTTTTTACAGCAAAAAAACCCCTAAACTTCAAAGCAAGCACCGAGTACGCACCGAGTATGCTACGACGTAATGGGAAATTCACAGACAAACTTCCACTGACCACTGCGGCACACCTGCACCAGGGCAAACCTCTGCTGTGTTTTACTTGCATCTATTGAAAAACTGAGTGTAAACACAAAAAAATATTTTATTTTATGTGCAGGAATGTGTAGAAAATAGGTTTAAATGTTAAACTAATTTATTCAAGTCAGAGAATGTTGCATATAATTTAATGTTTGCTTGATGCATAAAGTCAAGTCATAAAGATTAAAACTAATAAAAACAAATTTTAAAAAGAGACTTTTTCCATTTGATTACATTTTATATCATGGATTAGGCAGAAAGTAGAGCTGGGCTGACAGATCTATTGCTTTATCACCTATTCAGGTTGTAAATCATGTTTTTAAAAGTAACTAAGTAACTAATTACTTTTGAAAATAAGTAATCAGTAAAGTAATGGGATTACTTTGGGGGGAAGTAATTAGTAATTAGTTACTGATTAACTTGACCAACACTGGTAGTGTGTGTACTCAGATACCAAAGTGACTCCGGACTTTTTCCTATCTGCGCAGGCCGTCACTCTATTGTTAACCGGAGCTGTCAGTGCTGGGTGAAACATTCTGAAGAGTCCAACATGGACCAATGAGTGAGAGAAGCTCACTTCTGACCGATGACAGCAATACTGAAGTGAGTTGTTGAGTATTTCCCAAACTTTTCAGTCTGTAAGCACTGCTGTTTTTTCTGTTGTTATGCTTAAGGGTCGTAAAAATTACAATTTCCCTCTGACAAACAGTTTGATTACATTCTGATGCCGTATGAGAGTTTATTCAGGACAACAATTTTACATCTATTTCAGATAGTTTTACTAATGCAGCTATTTATAGGAGTAGGACTTTTAGTGGAAATTGCAGCAATCACGGATAAAGGACGTAAGTGGGTAAAACTAAAAATGATTTCTCACTGTTCCATTCACATCACAAAAAAAAACTATTGAACCAAAAGTTTAAGAGCAACTGTATAGTACCTGAATTCTGGTCATGATTATTTCTTAACAGAAATAAAGAATGAAACTTTAACAACTTGTCCAAGGACATTTGAGAAACATGAAGCATCTGGTTGTTTTCCTGACCATAATGAGAGCAGAGTGTGATCCACTCAGTTTGGAATGACTGACACACACACACACACACACACACACACACACACACACACACACACACCTGCAAATGCAGACAGGATTTTAAAAAAGAAAAAAAACAGAAACTGAGTAATACACTGAAATTGCACCTGGAACAGAATGACGAAGGCGAGCCTTGCAGCCAGGACACACCAGTACTGTTTAGAGAACTGGTACGCGTCTGGAGACCATGGGGGTTCCCTGTAGTCTTTATACCTAGAACAGAAAAAAAATAAAATAAAATAAAACACCCATGGAGACAAGAATATCTACGAGTCCAGAGTTTGAGAATATGAGGCAAACCTAAGATTAAACTGATTTACAGCATCTTTATCTAGCTGAGACCTTGCCTAATCAAAACATATAGCTCCTTGGCTCAGTCGAGAAACTTAAAGTGCAATAAACTTTATCAGGATTCCTTTAATTTGTTGTCCTTGTAGTAAACACTCTTTATTGTACCTTCAAAACAAACATGGGGAAACTCAAACCACATGTTTTACAAACTGTCTACATGCTCCAAATAAGGACAGAGGCAGAATAAGATAACAAGGACTAAGAATAACAGCCAAGTGCACAACAAAAGGTAGACAGGGTAGAGCCATTTTACCACCACTTCACACTTTGACATTATACCTGGAAACTTCACTTAACCATAACTACTACTATCCTCACCCAAACCCTTACCAATCATACTAAAAAGCACAAACTGAGATTATGGGGATTTGTCGTTCCCCAAATCTTGAGTAATTAGATTGCGGTCCCCACAGGATCAGCAATACCAGATGTGATACAGAAATTGTGTCAGTCTGTTTTAATCATCACAGAAAGATGTCGTCCAAATTCAGTTCAAGGGTAAAAGAAGGTGAGGAGTGAACACGTGAAATTAAAAAAATAAATAAATAAAGCACAGTTGGTTCATTATTCATTATTCATTCATTATATCTTTAACTTTAAAAAAAAAAAAAAAAAAGCGGTTTGTTAACACTGGAGAAAAAATGTGATGTGAATTATTTGCTGCTGGAAGAAAGACATGAATAATATAGTTGGTACAGCTGGTACATTCAGGTACCAGAGCTGCTGCTGCTTCTGTATCTGTTGGCTAAAATGCAACCAGAGAGGATTAGAAAACAAATGTCAAGTTGCAACTGGACTGTTTGAGATTCAGCAGTATTATGAAATCAAAGAGACCCTGCTGAGTGAGTGTTGGAGAAAACCTCAGTGGTTTGTTGGCAATTTTCCACCCACTCTCTCTTAAAATAAAATAAGTGAAACTGCCAAAAAAAAAATTCCCAAGAAAATAAAAGCATTTGTGGACAGGCATCTGATTTGAGCTACTGCATACATAAACTAACAGTCTAGATGATCCAACTTCAGCACAGCCAAAATTATTTAGATTTCCAAGTTCCTTAAATTCACTCGCTCCTTAATGAAGGTTGCACCCTCTTTACATCCTACTTTAGGATTTTAAAAAAAGCATTTTCAAAAGAAAGGCAATGAGCAATAACTGTGGGTTAAAATACCTCCATCTAAACACATTTAGTAAAATTGTGGGTATTGAAACTCCAAATGACAATACTACTATGCATGTTATGGAACTGGCTGAGAGACCTTTGCAACCTGCAGCATTACGAGATGTTATGAAATATCACTAAAATGCCAGTAAAAGCATTGAACAGCCTTAACCTGTAAACATCTGAAACGTTGAAGCTCACCAGAGTTCAGCAGCAGGTTACTAATCTGACCATCGACCAACCTTCTACAAATATGTAGAGAATGACACTTGGCTTTATGTTACACTGCTTTTGGCCTCCGTTTTCACAGCTATTGTAAAGAGGCTACATTTTCCTGTGGGAAGCAAAGTACAACATAGAGCATTCCTTTGAAGCCAAGAACTAGGAGACAGTCCCTCTTATTGTTAACCTCAAGCACATCTTTAGGCAGAAAACGCGTCGTCTGAAACCACTAAATGTACAGAAGAGTGTGGAGACAAAGACTGGCTTTATGTGGAGCTGTAGCTATAGACAGTAGACATCTATTCAACATTAGGTTGAATCAGTGCACATTTAAGACATGGAGACACTCAAAATCAGGTTAAAAAGCAACATTTACTCCGTACTTAAAAATGTACTTTAGTGGAGACTTAAAATGTTATGAAAAGCACAACCAACGAACGATTTTCAATCAAGTACTCAAACTTTAACTGCTTGCACTATGCTTGGATCAAGTGTGGTGCAAAGGTCCTCTCTCATTTCTGCAGCAATTTATGGAAACATGATTACAGAGATTCTGGGACTCTCCACCATTTGACCCTTAGAACTGAAGAAGCTTCTCGGATGAGAGGTGAAACGTCTTCAAGCAACTTAAAGAAGTCCAGACGCTTTTCTTTTCAAGCTCCTTAGACTACAATGACCTGGATGACTGAGAGCCTTCACAGAAATTACAGAGATTGTAATATTCTTTTGAGCATGAAAGTCAGAAAGTCAGTCATTTCTTTCCTGCATTTATAACTCGATCAGTTCTGGTAGATCCCCAACAACACTGGCACAAATAAACCCGCAAATCATGACAGAGCTTGAACCTGAAAACTATATTCCTTATATTTTACATAGATGTATTTAAAACTGCACACCCCAAGAAACAAAACAAAAGCATAACAGAAAAGAAATGCAGGAAGCTCGAACTGCAGGGCAGTTTAACACGTCACGCAAACAGGATGTCTCACATCAAAGTTTTACATTAAAATGACTGCACAACAAAAGTCAATTCCACACACTGTCATGAAAAAATTCCTCTGAAGTCAAAATAAATTAAAGGGACTGAATGAGCTGCCTCACTAAGCACTTGACTAACAGTATAGAAATAACAGAGAGGGAGGGGAGGGCCAGTGTGTGTGTGTTAGCATGGTCTTATGATGCCTGACTCCTTCTCCTTATACAGTCATGAGTGAGGAATGCTGTCCGTGAGAGTCAGTCTTCTTTCCCTTTCTTTTTCCTTTGATCTAGTCATCTGTCTCTCAGTCTCTCAGTAATATTTTTGCAAGATTTTGTTTTAGGTCATCTTGAAATATTAAAAAAAAATGAAATAAAAATAAAATAAGACCAGTCTCTGTCAGTTTAATTCACTTAACACTTCTTAGATGGAATCACAAATACAGTTGTGCTATCAAAGATGATTTTTCTCTCTGTTCTTGTGTGTGTGCACACATGTGTTTTCTCAAAGCTCCATGTTTGGTTAAAATAGTGGAGCTCTGCAGCACTGAAGCATTTAACTCAATATTCTTTCAGAAGACCTCTCAATAAGATTAGGGTTACTATGTGAGACGAGCGTGTTCGTCTGGGACCAAGGGGTCAGACCAGATAAGGGTCAGGTCATTCCCATCTATAAATAAATAAATAAATAAATAAATAAATAAATAAATAAATAAATAAATAAACAGTAAACCTGTGTTACGCAACATGTTTGCTGTTAGCTATCATCCTGTTTGTTGTACGAACATATGAGCTTCATATTGGGTCTATTTGGTAGGTTTGGCATCACCCCACATTTGCCCCAAACCCCTTTAACCCTTGTGCAGTTTATTCATTGTCTCTAGATCACTCTAGGCAGGAAAATGGAGCCGGATGCAATCTTTTGGAGGGCAGACTTTGGGGGCACAAAATTTTATGTTGTTTTTCCAATGAGGTCACGTTTCATTTCAAACTAAAAAACAGGATTATTTAATGCTGGCAAATGGCAGTATATACTGTATTAAACTTTACACTATATGTGGATCAATGCAATCAGCATACAGTAATATAAGTCTTGAGCCAGTCCCCATCTCTTTATATTTCACTAGGCAAATGTGATTCAGTTAAATGTGCAAACATACATGGAAGTACAAAACATAAGGCAAAACCACAGTTGTACAATTGAAAAAATAAATAATAATAAAAAATGTAAAGTCAATATTTTATATGACCACCTTCGGTGTTGCCATGATGTAGCCAAATCAGTCTGGTATTACGTCACAAAGAACATAATAAACTGACAGAAAACCAAATCAAATGTTCAGAGCTACCCATTGTTCTTCAACACAGCCTGAACTCTTTAAGAAACTTTTCATGTCATTCTTTTCCTGTAATTTCTTCAAGTAGTCTTCAGGAGGGGAAAAGGAAAAATAAAACTCCCAAATCATACATAGAGCTGTAGTAACTCCTTATACATAAGGGAGTAGCTAAAAGTAGCAGTCTGTTGGTAGCGGTCTTTAAGAGGCTTCTTGAATGACATTCCAAAGCTTTTTGGATTTCGACTGACTTTTGTTCTGTTCTGTCAAAATTATCCCACACTGCTTCAGTAATGTTGTAGGTCTGGGCTCTGGGGAGGCCAATCCATGACAGTGTTCCACTATGTTTTACAGATTACTGTACACACTCACTACTGTACCTTTCTCCTGACCTGTTCCCTATAAGTTTCAAGGTTGTTTTTTTTTTTTTTTTACTGTGCTATGTTTGTAACAACCCTATTACCCATACTCTCCAACCTGAAAAAGTAAGTTTTTAAATTATTGTTTCATAAATTCTTGACTTAACAGACATTAGTTTAAGCAGCTTTAGAATTCTTGTTCAACATTTCACTTGTGACATTTTTGTTTTTGCTGTAATTCCAGTTTATTTTCAAATATTTGCTCAAATACAGTATTAATATACTGTAATGGCAAACTAATACAGAGGCAATATATTAAACCCGACTCAGCTAATCAAACCATTTATGATTAATTGATTAAAAATTACATTATAAAAGGGTTAAAGTCAGAGTCACAGGATTACACATGATAGCAGGTTAAAGGAATTCATTACTTTTGGCTGTATACTGTATGATAAATGTGACAAATATTCAGGATTACAGAAATGTTTACTAATTTTTCTATGTATTTAAAACATATTTGTTCAATATGTATAGTACAACACAGGATAAATGTGGTTTTATAAAAAGGAAAGACAATTTGAAAGTAATTTGTCTTTTGTTGCGAATATGACTAACAGGGTTACACTGGTTAGAGTCGACTCATAGTGTTAGTACACAGCTTTGTCATATCACTTACTGTTGTACTATTAGTTGATACTGGAAACACAATGTCCCATGTTTAGTGCTGTCAACATGTTTAACAGATTCACTTATAACTAAACCTTTCTGAGTTAACTTCAATAATTTCTTCCTCCAAACCATCAACGTGTCTTTTAGACCCCATTCCTACAAAACTGCTCAAAGAAGTCCTGCCATTAATTAATGCTTCAATCTCTAATGATCAGCTATGTACCACAGGCCTTCAAGCTGGCTGTAGTTAAACCTTTACTCAAAAAGCATCTCTAGACCCAGCAGTCTTAGCTAATTATAGGCCAATCTCCAACCTTCCTTTATATCAAACATCCTTGAAAGAGTAGTTGTCAAACAGCTAACAGATCATCTGCAGAGGTTTATTTGAAGAGTTTCAGTCAGGTTTCAGAGCTCATCACAGCACAGAAACAGCTTTAGTGAAGGTTACAAATGATCTTCTTATGGCCTCTCACAGTGGACTCGTCTCTGTGCTTGTCCTGCTAGACCTCAGTGTAGCGTTCGATACTGTCGACCATAATATTCTATTAGAGCGATTAAAGCACGCTGTAGGTATTACAGGTACTGCACTGCAGTGGTTTGTATCATATCTATCTAAAATTAGAAATATCCTGTCTCAGAGTGACGCTGAAAAACTAGTTCATGCATTTATTACTTCCAGGCTGGACCACTGCAATTCATTATTATCACGATGTCCTAATAACTCCTTAAAACTCCCATGATGCATTGAGTTTTTCCTTTCCAGTCACCTTTCTCACTCACTATGTGTTAATAGACCTCTCTGCATTGAATCATATCTGTTATTAATCTCTGTCTCTCTTCCACAGCATGTCTTTATCCTGTCTTCCTTCTCTCACCCCAACCGGTCGCAGCAGATGGCCCCGCCCCTCCCTGAGCCTGGTTCTGCCGGAGGTTTCTTCCTGTTAAAAGAGAGTTTTTCCTTCCCACTGTCGCCAAAGTGCTTGCTCATAGGGGGTCATATGATTGTTGGGATTTCTCTGTATCTATTATTGTACGATCTACTGTACAATATAAAGCATCTTGAGGCGACTGCTGTTGTGATTTGGCGCTGTATAAATAACATTGAATTGAATTACTAAACCAAGCACTGAAAATAAAGAATATTTTCTCCTAATGCTGAGAGGAAACCTCTCCTTACAAATTATTTGATAATCCATTGCATAACCGCTTAACCCTCAATTGACTTCCTGCTGATAAGCCTGTTAGCAAAGCCAACTTCCTGTCAGCTCAGGAGTGAGTACTGTCTTGATATAAAGCAGGTATATACCTAAATGGCAATTTTAACAGTTTTCCTCTAAGATTATGATTTTCAATACATTTCCATCTATAATGGTAGGTTCCTTGTTTTCTGTAAATCACTCGAAATCTACACTTTCAAGCTAAATATAATTTTATTATAACCAACATCAGTAGATGTCAGACACATGGAGGTCAAAGGTCAAAGATGTGATATAAGAGGAGGTACAGCCACTCCAAATCTGTTTTAAAACTGATTTTTTTTGTTGTTGTTTTAAAAGTGAGCTTTTACTCTACGTCAGGGGCTACTCAACATCCCACACTTCAAATTTCATCTCCTTAAATAAACAGTTTTGAAATAGCTATACACTAAAAAGATATAATAATATAAAAATTACTTGTTTAAAGTTTTAACCAGATACACTGTTACTGCTATTTTCATATAAATTTACACAAAACAGTTAACATCAGCATCACAACATCTTAAAAAATGGAAAATAGAAAAGGAAAATATCCTTTTCTTGACATAGTCTTAAAATGTTTAACTCTTTGTTTCACATTCAGAATTTTGATGACACCGACAACACTGTAGGACAAAAAGGACTGCGGAGATGTACAGTCATGCTCTGCTCACTGATGCAGAATCTTCAACTTCCTCACACTGCTGTTTTTAAAATTTTATTAAAAATGTAAAACCTTGGTGGGTAGCTTCTGTCACACCAACCATCTATTTATCCACCCATCCATATGCAGCACCACCCCCCCGCCTTCATTCATTCATTTCCTCACTGGTATTTCTATATCTTTCCATTTCAACAGTTTCCTTACTGTCTTAAAAAGCATTCCTTTGTATTGTTATCTGATCATCAGTTCAATGATATCTCCCCTCATCTCTGCATCCTCTGAATGGATGGATAGTTATTATCCATCCACTCATCTTGACTATTGCATGTATTCATCCATATGTCCAGAACCCCAAATTAACTGGGCCAGAAAGAAGAAGGAGGAAAAAAAAAAAAGGCAACCATTGTCTGGAGAATCTGAAATTCAGAGCTGAATCATTTGCCCTGAGCCCAGAGGCACTGCCCACATCAGCAGCACTGTCTAGATACAGTCTATACATGACTACACAGCTCTGCTCACTGCAGACACACAAAATCTTCCTGGAACATCCTGCAGCCAATTTCACGCCTATGAAACGTTCAAGGCGAACACTATCTGGTCATTCTTGCGATGTGACATATCAGCCTACAGTGGTACAAAGCCTGCATTCTCGCATGGTAATTCTTTGCCATCTTATGTAACAGCAGGTCGGCCTCAGTTGTCTGTGGGCGCCGGCATCCATGACCTTTTCCTCTGCAAAGCTTTATATTGATATTATGAAAGAGATGCTTACCAGTGGAATGAGTGAAAATGCATAAAAGATACAATTGTGCATTTTGCAATAATGCCTTTCCAATCCATTCTTGTTGTTTCCACATTCAAAGTGGCATTACAGTTTGCATGAGGGTGCGATGGTGTGTCTTAATCAAGAACTTAGTTCCTCGCCGTTTAATTGAGTGTTTCACATTTGTAGCTAGCACAAAATATTAATACATCAATATTTGGTATGATAGTGACGACTACAAAAGGTTTTTGGTTCATTCAACTGCAGCCCTTAGCCCTGTAGCACAACCCAACTCAAGAAAAATCAAGTGAAAAAAAAAAATCAATAAATCAGCTGTCCCTCCCTCAGATTGGAGTTTAATATTAGATGCAGAACAGGCCTTCAGGTTGAGCATTAAAAAGTGTTTGTTGTACCCAAAACAAAACACTCTTAAGCAATCCAAACTTGTAATGATTTTCAAAATTAGCAACGTTTAACTAAATTTATCACAGAAACATTTTTGAGACCAGTGATAAACGTTCAAAGCACTAAATAAAGTTCCTAAACTCAAATACAAGTTCAGATATAAAGAGAAGATTTCAACTCCATGAAACAAACATTCTTTAGTCAAGATTAAAGGGCCATTAACCTTAATTTATACATAATAATCTGAGTGAATCATTGTTAATACAGACACTGTTTGCATGTTTCTGCAAAGGCCAAAATTATAAGTTATGACAAAACACAGAAATGCTGTTTTATCCTTCCCCAAATTAAATTCCTCAGATGTAAAAATAGATGAATTGGCCTGAATGTTTTCTTGAATGCTCACCAAATACTTCACTGGCAGTTGAGGGAACAAAAGCAACAAGGCCAAACGCACAGCGTTTGTCCATGTATGACAAGTGAATAAACAAGTTGAATAGGTATTCCCATGTTGACTGGCTATTTGCTGAATACAGAAGTGCTCGTCCCACAGAAATGTGAGCAAAACGTAATTGCTACAAATATACTTCGTGAGCATGGGTGTGTGTTTTACCGGCATAAAGTTATGTTTCCAAGCTCAGAGTTCTGTGGTGCTGTGCCAGGTTTTAAATCGGACACGTTGAAGTAGGACAGCGTGTGGTCAATGAAGCCGTGCATGGTGCCCGTCGGACTGTACATGTACTCGTAAACGAGCCTAGGGATGAAGTCGGACGTAAAGGAGATCACAAAGGCCTATAGACAGAAAGACAAAGAGACCAAAACAGAAAGAGTGAAACAGTCTGTCTGTCAGGACCAGTGATATAGAAATGTATAAAAACTGAATCATGTTTTATGCTGTTCACATTTCTTCCTTCACTTTTTATATATGCAAACAATTTGATTTTTAAGGAAACATTCTCACAGTGAAGAATGCAGCTTATTAAGTTACTGTAAGACCAGAATCAAATCAGAACACGATCAGCTATCACTCAAAGCCAAACTATCTGTAGCTGTAAAGGACAGAAAACCTCAGACTGATGCTTGTTCTTTTCAGTGAGAGGAGGGACAGGGGTTACAAAGAGCAAAAATCTGGTAAACTGTGCATTTGTTTAATATACATTTGAGTTTAAGGAACATTAAAGTCAGTAGAACTGATAGATACACATCTGCTATTGTTGTGAAGCTCCTGGTCAATCAATCAATCTTTATTTATAAAGCACTTTTCATACAGCAATGTAGCACAAAGTGGTTAAAAAGCATGGTTAAAAGCAGCCCACCCCACCCTGCCCTCCAACTCACTCCCCACACTCTCATTAACATAAACAATCATGGAGACATACCACCCCCACCCCCCACCCCCCACACACTGTAACAAACCTTTTGGGTTATAGCACCACTAGGGGGCGAGTCTCCTAGGGGGTGTGTGAGTATAGCGTGGCAGCCATTACATGCTGCTCGTGTTCTGTTCTCAGGATAGACCTCACCGTTGTAACGGCCTGGCACCGGCGACTACCGATCCCCGCACATGTATGTACGGACAGTGTAGAGCCGTGGAGACCTGGCTTGTATGGTCTTATGTTGCTGACAAGGAATAAAGGTCTGTTGTTTAATTTAACTGACTGGCTCCGTGTTATCCGGCTAACCTCCACACCCCATACCCGCTGGACCGGCTAGCCGCTCCTTCCTCGCCAGACTGCTGTTACAACACACACACTTAAAAAGTAAAATTGGGCTGGACAGACATGAGCCAGGTGAGGAAACAGTATCACAGGGAGCCGTCTGCACCGGGAGCCGGTCACGGACTGCAGCCTCCAGGCTGGGCACACAGCAGGAGGGAGGCAAAGAAGCCCCCCAGCCAGGCTGAGAAGACCCACAGAGCCCCAGCAGCCACGGTCCACAGTGTGTGTCCAATCTCTCAGATCTAGATTACATTAAAAACTCCTGCTGCTTGTTTTTGGATCTGCCACAAATCTGTTTAGTATTAAAAGTAAACTAGATGGGCTTTAGCTCACTGGCCAGAGACAAATGCAAAGCAGAACCTTCCTGACCCCCCTTCCCCCTCCCCTCCCCTCCACAAACATTGCATATTTATGTATTTCAGATACAACTCTGGGATCTCATGAGGTTATGAAATTGACAAAAGGTCTAATCAGCAGATCCAAAAGAGTATTTCACACATTATCCATGCCTGCATGTCAAATTTGCCCCAAAATTGCAAATATCTTTTTTATTAAAAATCTATAATAAACAATTATTTAACTACTTATTAACTAATCAGTCAAGAAATATGGCCGCCCATCCAGAGACTAGTTCTGTTGAAGGTTTCTTCCTTTTAAAAGGAGGATTTCCTCACCAGGTGCTGCTCAAAGGAGATCTGTTTGGACCCGTTTGCACTTTACACTTGTTCTCTGTTCTTTCATTTGATAATTTCTAAGGCACTTTGAATTTCACCTATGTTATAGCAGCACAGAGATCTGTGTTAGAGAAGTCTGGAAATGCACCATTATGCCAACTTTGTTAGTGCATTCCTGTCTCCGGTCTCTAAAAACAGGTAACATTTAATCTTATAAAGACATGAAGAAGTGGAAGATCCATGCAGTATATGCAACATATATACTATACAACCATTTTCCCCAAGATAAACTGAGCTGTAGAGGACTTTAAATTGACTACCAATTACACCAACAGTGATAAATGTTTAAGTGTTCGGGTGTTTTGTGAAGTAATTAAAACACATATATTACCACAATATTTGTAGAATAATTATCTTCAGGTTTTTATTTTGCATGCATCTGCCTCATTTACTAATTTAGAAACCTGGAAGAGGGGAACATTATGTTTATACTTACATTTATAATGACTGAGAACTTGCCCATTCCACTTAGTACATTGTACCAAATGCCTGTAAGGTGAGAAGCAAAAAAGACAGAAGGATAAGTTGAAGGGAATAAACAGGAAAGTATGTATCAAGTACAGTAATAAAACTGTATAGGGACTGAGACAGTCAGTTAAACTTTACCTATAAAGTATTTAAAGGATATATTTATAACTGAGTGTGATGCAAATGTTAGCTAATTTTTAAGTGATCTGCATATAGACCAGAGCTTAGCTACACATAGACAAATAATCCATCTGATGATTATGAATTTACTTATTTTAATAATCCAAAGTGAATTATTTCGCTGGCAAACCATCATTCTGGTGATATCAGTTACCTAGCCTTACAGTGTGACTTTTGGGCTTATTAAACCTCTTTAAAAGTATCTGGGTACAGTGAAAAATGCTTGGAAATCAAGCTGAGAGGTTTCAGGGTGTATTAGTGAGATTAGCAGTGGCTTCAGGCAGTTTGGCTAACTCAAAGAACCAAATCAGACTGGTTTAAGATGAGTTTTAGCATCTTGTTGATGCTTAGAATGGCGATTTATAAACTGAGTGTCAGATTAACTTACCAATGTCTTTAGCTCGTGCAGCGACTGGCCTACGCAGCTCTGTAACAAACTTCTTGGCATCCAATCTGATCTCAATGATATTGTTCAGCAGGGCAAAGAGAGGAGCCAGCGGGAAAGAAGCCACGAACAGAGAGACGAAACCAAACTGGATGACTGCAGAAAGAGAAATAGTTATTACATCTATCGGATGTATAATATAGGACATTAAAAAGTTTTTTGGTAATTTGTCTACATGTATTCAGATAAATAAGTTCTATATTTAAACCAATATTTACAATTACCAATTAAAAAAAACAAAAAAAAAAAAACACTGCTTACATGTTAATTGTTGATATATCCCATACTTCCTACTGTAATTTTGCTGATGATATTAATGGCCATTCTACATGTAGATGATGTGATGATCTAAGTATAAAGATGAACAATACATCTGCTCCCAAAGCCTCATGCAAAACAAAAACGGGACTCATGAAAGTTTCATTTCATGAATTTACATTACTTAATTTATGATGTCTCAAGGGCACAAAGAACATTGAACCATTGAAAAGTAAAACAAATCAGATGTTTACAACGTTCAAGTTTATGTCACATGCTAACATAAGCCCCAGTGTTTGGCACATCTTGCTTTGGAGAGAAAAGTTGTTTAACTGAAAATCTCTGGATCTGCCTCAAAACTGTTTTCAAGTTAACCCTTGTGAAGCTGCAGTTACGTCGACAGGTTTTTGGACGATGATGCTTGTTTTTGGCAGTTTTGTCTCTGTACACCACCACAGTGTTTTAAATCAAATGATCAGGATGTAATTCAAGTGCAGACTTTCAGCTGGTTCAACAAAAGCATTAGACTAACTGTTTACATCAGCTTTTATACACAGTCTCCCATTTTCATAGGCTTGAAAGAAATCGCACAAATGACAGACAAGCAGTTTTTATCTTCCACAATCTGGTAGCTTCATAAAAAGAAGGAATGCACTGGGGCAACTCAGCAGGCCATAGAAGATGACTGCAGTGCAAAATGACAGAATTATTTCCTTGATTAGGAAAAAACACTTCACAACATCAACAAACCAACAAAGAGGTGACAATGGCAAAGTCTACAATTGCCAGTATGAATGAAAATACAGAAGAATGTGACCAGTAGCGCAAACCACTGGTCACATTTACAAAGAATAATCCCAGATTAGACCAAAAAACATCTAAAAGAGCCTGCACAGGTCTGGGGATGAAAATCTTGCTTTCATCTGTCTGTTAACTTGTACCAAAATGATGTTAAGAGAAAAGCACAAAGAAGCAGAGAATCTGCTCTGAAGTGCATAACGTCATCTGTCAAACATGGAGGAGGCAGTGTTATGGGATGGGCACGTATGGAAACCACTGGAACCACATCAATAGTGTTAAATAATGATGTGACTGCTGATAGAAGTAACAGAGTTGCACTCTCTGCTTAGATTCACAAAAATGCTGCAAAACGGATCAGATAGTGCTTCCCAGTGCACATGGATAATGATCCAAAGCATACTGCAAAAGAAACCCAGGAGTTTGTCAAGGCAAAGACACGGGATATTCTTCAATGGTCAAGTCAGTCACCTGATCTCAACCCAAGACAGCAATCTTCAGTGACTGAAGGTAAAACTGAAGGCGGAGAGACCCACAAACAAGCAGCAACTGAAAGCAGCTGCAGTAAAGGCCTGAAAGAGCATCTCAAATTTAAACTATTCCATTTGGTGATGCTGATGGCTTATAGACTTCAGGCGGTAACTGCCTTCAAAAAATTTGCATCTAAGTATTAGAAACAAGCCCTGAAAATGTGGGGATGTGACCAGGAATTAAAGCTGAAAAAGCCTGTACTTCAATCACATATTGATTGTTTAAAATCCACTATAGGCAAGCTACCAAAGAAGCGCCACTGCTCAAATACTTTGGGTTCCAATTGTATTTCTGCTCTTCCACATCTCACGCAATATGAGAAGGAAATCAAACCCACAACACAGGAAGCACATTTTTTCAGTAGCCACTAATACACCCTCGGATTGACATTTGTGAACAGTCATTTGTCTGGTCAAGAGTCACACTGTCTGTCTGGGCTTTTTGGTGGTTCAGAAGATGCCTTTTATGGTTAAACCCTGTGCTGCAGCAGCAGCCAAGCTGAGACATTTTTATGATTAAGCAGTGTTTAATGGGGGTGTGCATCTACACTGTGTGCTGTGTGACTGAGATATTTAATCAGGTGGATTTATTCCGAATTTGTCAAACATCATAATCAATATATCCGTGTAGGTTTTGTATAACCATAGATGTTAGTTAAAAACAATAGGTTTAGATGGATGAATACATTCTTTTTAACCACACAGAGTGGAAGCAGTAATCTAGAAAGTAGTATAAAGTCTGGATTTTTGGCTGAGGACCATAAAGACAGTTAGGCAGTTTATTTGGACACTGGGTAGAACTGGACTAGTATTTGTTAGAGCAAATGTGCTGTGACATCAACTGAAATCTTGCTGTGATACAAATTTTTCTCCACTTAGTATTGTAAAAGCTTTCATATGATATTAGCATCAATAACCTCAAGGTGGGCTTACAGTCTGATTGGTTTGACAAAGCAAAATGGGGCTGGGTTTGGAGCAATAAATTGTCTAACAAGTCGTCTCATGATCAGTTCACCCGCTTGTGAAGAATGCTGAAAGGAAACCTGAGAAACACAAGGCAGTATTCCTGACTGCAGCCAGTGCAGGACTTCTGTCAGAGCATTGGAACTTTAGCAGTGTGGGAACGGGGATTTCCAGCGAGCGGAAGACTGACGGCTTCACCTCAAGACACTACACTGAGACAATGAGTGGAAAGGAAGAAAATACGGCCGAGGCACAGCGAGCGCTAAAGGGCAAGCTTAGAATAACCCAACATCTACCTGAGCCGAGGTTAACGAGTTCGACCCAGTCACACAAAGAAAGACGCGCATACATTAAATTAAAAAATGAGTTAACACAAATCCAGACTATCCATTCACACACACTCACTACAGTGCATGTGTCAGACATTTCTGACATTCCTCTGTGTGCCCTGCAGCTACAGCCCAGTCTTCTTGTTCCGCCCGTCCTCACTCTATTCATGTCACATGAAATAACTAAAACACAGCAGAAACATAAAAATCACCAGGTTTTCATCCAGTTTGACCTGGATTACTTTACAGCAGTAAAAACTACCATCATTTTGATGTTCTTAATAGAAACCAAGTGTAAGGTTCCCACAAACATCAAATTCTGCCAAGAAAACTTCACTTTGAAAACACTGTTACACAAGTTCTATATGGCACTGATATCCAAGGAAAACACGGCCCATTTTATGGGTTCACGAAGATCAACACGAATTTTTTTTTTTTTACAGGTCAAGCTTGTTGATGCATGTTTGTGAAACTGCTGCAGCGCTTAGACTTGTATCAGCAGTGGGGAAATGATCAGACACCTCAAGCCGTGCAGCATGGAGGCCAGCGCTGCATGTCTCCTTCAAACAGTGCACGTCTTTCATTTGTTTGTTGATTGTATCTCAGTTTCTTGTTTTCTTTTATTCTCTGTACAAAATTAGGGTTCAAATGTATGTTCATTTATCTATTCAGTAAAACCTTTTGAAAGAGGCAGTTTCACAAGCTCACTCTGAATTAGATTGACTCAAAAAAATGTAATCAACCAATCAAAGAAAAATGTTGGGGCTTAAATGAAATTTAGTCAAAATATCACTAGCTTCATTGTTTGCAAAACAGGCATGATGCATGGAATTTACTTTCCCCTGTCATAGGTTATCCTCACTGTATTGGCTGTTGTGTTTTAGCTGAGAGATACAAACTGCTTTGTTTGGTTTCTAATGAGCTTCAAAAAATTTTTAAATCTGCTTCTTAAGTTTGAAGTAAGTAACAATTTCTGGGTCCAAATGCTCCTCTATCCATCCATCTTCTTCCTCTCATCCAACTCACCCTATAGCAGGCTGGGTATTGAAGATATGCGTAGCTTATTTGAGAGTTTAGAAATGTGTTAGGTAGGATGTAGAATTATTGTAGAGACACTGACACCGCCCTGGATGCAATAAAGGCCTGAGTGTGTCATGAATTTAGGAGTAGATTTCTAGGAGGCCCACCCGCTTTGAACTGTGAAAGTAAGACAAAGAGAAGTTAATGTTGAGTGGAAATTGCCCAGGGGAGACCTGGGTGGGGGTCTCAGTGTTTGTAATATGTTAACTCTGTTTTCTCTGTTGTGTAGAGGAATTTGGTGTAGCTCAGGTGAGGAGATTACTTTTATGACCGGCAGGAAGTCACAAACACAGAGACACACACACAGTGCTTTGACTGTTATGATGCACCCACACCTACATGCACACTCACTCACGTGCACTCACATAGACATACGAGTACGCGCACACACACAGGCACTCACGCGCTCGTGCATACACACACAGACAGAGTTTGCAGTACACCATGGGGGTATTATGATAGGGTCGCTTCTATAAAGCTGACTGTAACAAACAAAGGAGTGGAAGATCTGCAGAGGGACACCGGCCTTGCACGTCTTCCCTTCTAGAAGATGCATGCTTAAATGAAGATGAATAAAGATGAATAAAGGTTTTGTGAAAATGACTACTGACTTCCGGTGCCGTCTCTGGATGCCCGAGGAATAAAAAGAACCGGGGTGAAACTGATTTCGTAACAGTATGCTAGACAAATTGTCAGCCTGAAAGACACACAACCATTCACACTCACATTCACGCCTATGAACAATTTAGAATCACCAGTTAACCTATCCCTAATAACTGCATGTCTTTGGGCTGCAGGAGGAAGCCGGAGTACCCGAAAAGAAGCCACGCTGACACGGATTGAACAAGAAAACCCCACACAGAAAGGCCCTGGAGTTCTTGCTGTGAGGCAACAGTGCTAATCACAGCGCCACCAGGTACCAAAAACCTGTCAGTACCACAGAGTGAAAAACATGGTCAAAATGATTTAAAATCCAATAAAACAAGAAGTCTGTTCTCTCAGGGTTTACAGTAAAGCATAGCATTCAGCCGTATTGTGAAAAACAACATTTACAAGGTTTCACTGAGTTCAAAGCTGCCAGTCAGCAACCTCACTGATATCTAACATGTCACCCAGTGCGAGCTGGAGGCCATCACCTGATGAAGCCAGCAGAACTACATCATCTGCAAAAAGACAGGGATGAGATTCTGAGATCATCTAAGTGGAAGCCTTTTGCCACTTGGCTACGCCTAAAAATTATGAACAGAATCGGTGACAAAGGGCAGCTCTGGCAGAGCTCATCACCCACCGGAAACGAGTCCGACTTATTGCCAGCGGACTAAACTCCTGCAACAGCTGTATCACGCTTCCCGAAGCACCTCCCACAGGACACCCCAGGGACAAGGTCGAATGCCATGTCCAAGTCCAGAAAACACATAAACTTGTTGGCCAAACTCTCGTGCGCCCTCAAGTATCCTCGATACTGTATCTGAGGAGTATGGCATCTTACCTGTCTAAGATGCCATACAAAGAACTGAGAAGTTGTTGCTTATCCAAGGTGATTTTAAACACTCAACACTGATGGCAAGCCTATACATTTAAAATGGCGTAAATAGCATGGAGTGGTGTCAGGCAATGATAAGTTGGGCAGCTCTAGCTTACAGTGGTTTATTGGAATCCTTGCCATTATTATAAATAAATATTCTAAATACTATTGTTCTTATTTTAAAAACTAATGCCTCCTGTTTTTAATATTTTCTGTCTTTCGTCTCTGCTTGCCTTTCTGTAAATGTCCCTGCATTCCACTGTAGTATACAGAGTTCATCAACTCACAGCACTGCACAGTTTTGCAGTGACATCTGTTGGAAAGCAGCATAATGTAAACGTCTTATATGTCTTATATAAGTTTTCAGGCTACAGACTCTGAGGCCATTTTTCTCTGTGTGCATGCATACTCACTCATCTCCATGTATTCTGGAGTGAGGCCTTCAAAGGGAGCCAGGGCATAGTCCAGGTTCCACTGCTGAGGTGGCTTCTCTTCCTCCCTCGCCTTTGGTGTCGTTTCTTTTTCCTTTAATGTACGGACCAATTTCTTCAATTTCCTGTTAAAATGAAGGAAGATGAAAGTGCAAAGATAATAAAAGACTTTACCTTTACTGCAACTGTACTGAAATCCACATACAGTATATGTGTAAGGCTCCAACTGACTGCTGGGTTATAGCTGTGATTAATCCCTACAGCAAAAATCCATTCTAAAGTTGTCACAGGCAGGGCATGAATACCTTCCACTCACAATTCCTGCTTTCTTGTTTACTTTCAGTAAAAGATATCAAAGCTGGAAACTAAAATAGGTGGCACCGATGCAGTTGAATGAGTGCAATGACTCCAACAAAACGATCGCATTTGGAGTTTCTAGCACAGCACAGAGTCGTTAAAACTCTCTAGACCTTAGCTGGAACAATAAAAGATTTGCAGACTGCTTGTGAAACATAATAGCAAAATAAGTATTTACAGAGGTGCTGAAATGCTGATGTTTGTTGAAAACCCAGTGAACTGACAGCCAGGGGCTGAATGTTTTAGGGTTTTTATGTAAGCGAAAAAGGGCACAGCCAACAGAGAACTGAAGAGACAGTGAAGGAAAGTGAGAGCATGGGTGTTTCTCTAAGAATGCACTCTTACATGAGTAATACAACCACAAATATGCATGTGTGTTTGCAGTTTGGTGAAGGGATATACAATACAACCTAAATATTTTTTATGTTTTGTTTGCATAAACACACATGGAGCAACAGGGTACATGTGATGAGCTACACACTTGCACACAGCAATTCTACCAGGTGTGAAACTTTTTTAAGGAGATGAATGTGTAACAGTGGAAAGGATGGCATGCAGATATGATTGCATGTGCTGCGACTTGCAGATCCATCAAGATGACTAACAGAGCTTTTGATGAAGCTCACCTAATGAGTGAGGGAGTAAAGCAACAATAAAAGTGTAGCCTGAAGCTAGAAAGGGTGTCTGGTTGACATCTGTTATAAACATAGATGACCTTTGAGCTTTCAGATTTGCACGTTAATGCTAAGCTATTGCACAAAACCACTGTCCAGACATGGAAGGAATGTTACTAGAACAAGAAAGGGCAGAGCAGATGCTGCAAGAAATTGTCAGCAAGTGTGTGTGTGTGTGTGTGTGTGTGTGTGTGGGGGGGGGGGAATAGAAAATTGGCATGCTACTATAATTGTGGGGACCAACAGTCACAAAACACTCGTCCCCATGTGTTTGAAGGCATTGTTGAGGCTCAAAATGTGGTGTTGGTGTCAGGTTTATAATTGGGTTACGGTTAAGTATAAAGAGCATAGTTTTTCTGTAGCCATTAATTATAGGTTCAGTGCACTGGCATAGGTTTAGGGTAAGGGTTAGGTATTCATTTTTGATTTTCAGGGTTAGAGTAAGCGGCTGGGGAAAGCATTATGTCAATGTCCAAATGAGATCAAACACTAGCAATCAAACACATACAAGGGACAATCTTATTGCCTGACTGCTTCTTTTCATTTTTTCTTCATACAAATCGATGGACTTACGGGATGCCAATCTCAAAGATGTTGTTCTGGATTAGTTGCTTCCCCAACATGATGATGCTGAGCTGAATACACAACTCAATGAGGCACCCTCCTGGAGCACACTGGGGGATACATATCATTTTTTTTTTTTTTTACACATTACACTGTAACTTTTGAATCCAATTTCACTAATCAAAATGAAAAACAAACTTATGTTTAAAGGTAAAAATCACACACCTCCTCCATCCGAAAATCATTAAACACATACACATAATTTCCCGGGCGTCCAGCAAACCTGCAAAAACGTACAAAAAAAACATTAGGTCCCAGTAGTGACACTAAAAAGAAGTGGGTGTCATTTTATAGGTGACATTTCAGATGTGATGTTCATGATACAATGGTGAACACAAACAGAGGGCTTACCGTCCCTTGAAGAAAGCCACGTAAAAGATGGGAGCATATGCGTTCATAAACTTGAGTAAGAAGGCTTTCAGGATGAGCCGTTCTTCAAAGTTGGTTTCTGTTTTAGGAATCTCTGAAAAATAGTTGATGTGAAACAGTGAGAAAGAGTTAGCACGGTATTTCATGAGTGCTACAGAAAAAGAGGCATGCTAATAGAAATGAAATGGGGCCTATGTAAAAGAAACATGAAGCAAACACATGCACAGCTCAATTAGGTTTGTATTTCTAAGGTATTTTTTCTACAGTGTGACTCTAGACTGTTATGACTGCACAAGAATGGCGTCTGTTCAGCAGAAAGTGACAACTCTGCAAGTGAAGAGAGTTTAACATGATCACTGTGCTGGAAGTAGGTTAAAATACTGGAACTTTTCACATTGCACATCATCTCTCTCACACACACTCACGAGCACACACACACTCTCTCTCTCTCTCCTTACATTTCTCCATCTAATTTTTTTCTATTTCAGAGGTTTTGAATATGAATATAAATGTAGGAAAACCCTCCTGGGATGACTGATGGGATGGCTGGAGCATGAAAACATCAAAGTTTTATCAAGCTGTCCACCATGAGGCAGAAGGACTCTTTCTCAGATACAGAAGATGATTACATGTTTTATCAAGAGACCTAGGCATTATTTTACTCCTAGCATTTGTAAATGTGTCATTCTGGATATTTGAAACAACCCCCTGATTTCCAGAAATCAGGGTTAGATTAGATTCAAGGAGTAAATCACTAGCAGGATATGATTACCTTAGAAACAAAACCAGGGCAATCTACTGGCCTAGCCTTAACGTAGGAAATATCAGTCTGTTGCAACTGTCATGCCAGTACATGTTCCCAAATAGACTGTAGTTAAGAGGATGTATGAAGAGCTTGTATAAAATAATTATTATTTTTTTTATTTATTTATATATATATATATATTAACCACTTACTGAATTAAAAAAAATATATATATATATATATATATATTATATATTATAAATATTATATTATATATAATCTTTTTTTTATTTATTTTTATTATTTATTTTTTTAAAACTATTAAAAAAAAAAACAAAAAACTACTATAGCAATTCAAAAGGTACATTTCTAAAGTTAATCAGACTTTGAGACTTGATATCATGCATGGTGACCAGCATGGTGACTGTTAAGCTAAGCTAACATCTTGTGCAGTTACAGCTTCATTGTTAAAGATATTCAAATGTTAATGATCTTTTTACTTAACTCTTGGCAGGAAAGAAAACCAATCAAGGTTTTTAGCAGTGTTCACCAGTGGATCCACTTTCCCCCCCCCATTCTCTCTGGTACTTGAAACCAAAGTTACTTTACTAGAATAGAGTAAAATGACATGTGTGTGTGTGTGTCTGTACCTAGCTCAGTTAACCACACTGCCACAGCACCGTAGATTTCATCCAGAATCAAGATAACCACGAGGTTGATGATGACCGCAGTGGCAGTGACTGTCACCCGAACATTGTGCCTGATCTCCGGGTCAGGGCTCATCGCCATGATCGCAGAGATCGTGATGCGGTAAATGATGACGCCGAAAACTGCAGAAAATGTCAGCGCAAACTGGGAGCAAAAACACAAGCAAAGGAAGGGTAGTTATTACTCAAATCGTTATAGAGCAATGGCTAGACTTATTATGCTCTCACACTTCAATTCTGAGAAAATGACACGGCTAGGCTAGATCAGATGTAACCAAACCTTATTTTAAAATCATACATATCTCAGAGAGGGGGACAGTAATGTTGAGAAACTCGTGCTTAAAGTGGTAACTTCAGAAGGAAAAAATGTGCGCTTTGGTAAGTTTGAGCTAAAAGTATTTCTTTACTGCTAAATCCAACTGGAAAGAGAGATCTAATTGTATTCTGTTATCCGCTGTTGCTTGATGAGGTAAATCCAACCTCATAAAGTCAGATGGAAATTAAGAAAAAAAAAAAAAAAGGAAAAAGGAATCCCTTTTATTCCCAGCTCTGCATATACATTTTTCTCATCCTACACTGGCCCTAAAACGCATTTTTAAATACTCACCATGAAGAGGATAGAGGACACATTTATCAAGTATCCAGGAAGGCGATCTTTCCAGGTCAGCTTCTCTATAGGAGACTGACAGAAAAAACAGAGGAGGACAAAAGAGGGAAAATTCCAAATAAGTCATACAGGAATCTGTGGATCTTTAAGTTTGTTTTTAAATCTGTTATCCAGAACAGAGAGCCTACAGAGACGTCTTAAAAAGAGAGAAAAACAAAGCCGCTTCCTCCTTTCAAATGGTTTGTAAAAACTGAGTTTAGAGCGAAACAAGCAGCCAGTGAATTTCACACGACCACGGGGAACATTACCACATCTCAGCACAGACATAAGGGAGCATAAAAATGTGTTTTACTGTACGCAGCCTAAATTCAAACACTAGCTTGAGGACATGTTTTATTCCAGAGAATCTCTAACATCCAGATGACTCCCAGCTGATTCAGCCATTCTCCCAGGCATTAACCACATTAACTGGCTTCTAATTTGGAGCGATTTCAGGTCTAAGAAAACACAAGTATCTGCTTTCTTGCCAAGATTCAGATAGGAAGATTGATTTCTACAACCTCGAAAACCAGGTTACAGCCAGGAGACAGTAGCAATGCATAATTTAAAATGCTAGGAGATGACAGAAGGATCTGGTTTTGCCCAGCTACTAAACCCTGTGCAAACAAAAGTCTCGCCCAGAATGTCAGAAATTTTAATAATGGAATGTAACCTGTACAGTTACAGTGGAACAAAACCGCTGTCAAACTGTTTCAAATCTTCCACCACTTATAGGCATATGGAAATAATGCATACATGAACATCTTCACACAGTGATAGGAAGTCAGTTTGCACACACAGACCTGAGTGGATCAAAACCCTGTATACTCTGAAGAGGGATTATGCAGCCTGGCAGTGCAATGGCACCATCTAGTGAATATGATGGCATTGTACACCCTGCAATACAAGCTTTTTAAAAACAGAAACAGGCAAATATACATATGAACCGTCACGAATAAGCTTATACAGTGGGCTGAAAGGAGAGTGTTAGACATTTAATCTGAGATTTAGAGTAAGGAGTAGCATCAGTTTAAAATATGGGGACGCAAAATTAAAATGAAGTACACATTTCTGCATGCAAGGACACATTTTGACATTTATTGGAACTACATTAATACTGGTCTAATTGCTTCAACCACTCAAGAGTTCTACCCTTTAGTCATCTGAGGACCTCTTGGTTTTTCACTAAATAGTAAATGCACATTTAGACAGCCTTAACCATTAAAGCAGGTTTCTTGCATACATCATTAGGTAGTCCTTTGGTTGCTCCAACCACTGCAGATCTGAGGTGTGTTTGCTATATTCAAGTTATGTTTTTATAAAATTAATGTGTTTTTCAAGCCCACTACAAACTTTAAGAGACAAATTAATTATCAGAATCAGAGAATCAGAATCAGAATGGGGTTTATTGCCAGATGTTGTGGTTTACAACATTAGGAAATTGCTGCGGTGCTTCAGTGCAAACAATAAGAATTAAAGTGCTATGTAGAAAGAAAGATATGTGCATGAGATATACATGAGATATATACATGAGAATAAGAATTATGAGTGCTACGTAGAAAGATATATACATGAGATATATACATGAGAATAAGAATTATGAGTGCTACGTAGAAAGATATATACATGAGTGCAGGTGGTGTTATGAGGTGTTAGCCATGTAAATTATTGGATTACAAACAAATCTCTTAAATGTGAAGTTTTTTATTGTCACTTCAGTTCTACAACATTGTTCACTTTGCAGCTTTTGGCAAGTATTCCCAGAGAGACAGTGAGCCCAGAAGCCTTTCGCTTGGGGTCAGGTTGTAGGTTGTTCGCTGCTGATTGAAGACCTATAACAAAAAAAAGACACCCAAGTCATTTTAAAAACCCAATTCTAATAAAGTTTTAGTTAAAAATGAGAACTTGCTAAGTAATAAGTAAGATTAAAAGTTAAAACAGAGACTGTGACTTTTTATATCTCTCTGGCATTCTGGATTAGACTTCACCTGACTGGTTCTCCATTGCTGTGTTTCAAAAGTTCAGCTAGTAATTTGTTAAATAATGACCTACAAAAAGGACAATTCATGGCAGAAATCCAAGAAACCATTAACACCAAAAATATTTAAAAGGAACAATATTTCAGCAAAAACCAAAAACAATCAAAATAAAGCCATACCATCTTCTCTTAAGGTTCTCACTTCTCCTCCCCCTTTTCCAGACTCTCTTAGCCTGGTTCAAGTGCTGAAGGAAAATTTGATCACACCGGGACTCGTGACAAATTTCCAATCTGCTAGAGACAGAAGAGCAAAACAAGATTTAAATGAAATGTAAAATAAGGCTGCATTAAACTGCAACAAGTTATCATCAGTAGTTTCTACTTTTCACAGACACTACCACGACCACTTCTATTATTAAATAGTACTATGTATGCACTACTATTACTCGTACCAAGTATAAATTCTTCATATTAACCTTTTTTAAAAGACTATTACTAGAATAATAAAACGTGTTAGCACTTGAATGTGATGTTGGCACTATGTGCATACTTGTCAGTTTAGATCAGATTAGATCTAAGTGTGTAAATCAACTTGTGCATTCTACTTTGTTTTTACATGGTAGCCAGCAGCAGATGTCTACACTGTGTTCAGACAACAAACCAACACATTTAGTTAACTTACCGGATGGTTTTGGCAAGCTTCTTGAAAACGACCTCGTTGAGTCTTCTGAACTTGTGAATGCTGGAAAGTGTGTTTGTTTGCACTCAGAGTGTAGTGTTGAGAAATGACAAACAGGTTTTATCCTGATTACAACTGACGAAATACATTTGATTTAAAAATTACACAATTTCGCTAACATTTTTCTTTCTCATTATTCTGTTGGAACAAAGTCGTTAGCCTTTCAAACGGAGGGCCTTTTGTCTTAACTGAACATGCACATATTAAATATAAAAACTTTAATGGAAATGAAAGTGTTACATGGAACACAATGTGCTTTTATAAAGTCCATTATTCAGATTTATGCAGTCTCTCACTTATAACGTCTACGCAGGGATCAGTGTATAAAAGAACCAGAAACGAAATCAGCAACTTGTTTTTAATCTGTACATTTATCATAATTTTGAGAATCATGCCTTTTGGACATGAGCCTTCATTTCAAACATAATAAATGCTTTTTTTCTAAAATACTAACTAAATACTAACCCCACGTTTGCCTACTGGTGGTGGTCAGAGGGCCCGGTGGCGCCAGTGTCCGGCAGCCTCGCCTCTGTCAGTGCACCCCAGGTCAGCTGTGGCTACAATGTAGCTTGCCATTGCCAGTGTGTGAATGGGTGAATGACTGAATGTAGTGTAAAGCGCTTTGGGGTCCTTAGGGACTGAGTAAAGCGCTATACAAATGCAGGCCATTTACCATTCTTGCTCTCCCTCTCTCACCCTGAAGCCTCTACATACACAAAGTGTATACAAAAAGCCCTTCAGAGTGTGATGGCCATCCTGACCAAGAGAAAGAAAAAGGTAGGTCAGACTTTATATTTAGCTTGTAATGCGCACTGAGGAAAGACCAACAAAGCCTTTGCATTTGTGACAGACTAACCCTGGCTCTTAAATTGCTTCTTTTTTAAATTTCACTTTCAGTTCGTACTCCAGTTCCCCTTTTGAAGTACGTATTGCTGCACTCACTATGGATAGACTGCAAAACACTACTTCATTTGAGCAACTCAAATATTCAAGCACAGAGTATTGTGGACCATGCATGTATCACTAAAAACCATGCTGGCTTGATTTCTGCAAAATGTAAGCAGATGCAGAAAAACACTGTATTTAATATATTAAGCAGTGGGGAACTATTCTGGTATACTACATGGCTGTTTTAGCAAATAAATGTTTACATTTGCTTAAATGTTAAGAACGATGTTATACATATAGTACCATTTCACCATTTTCAGGCACATCTAATGCAATGTAAGTGTCTAAGACCGAGCTGGCTTCCCTTTAGGATACTGGGCTTTAAAACATGTGACCCTTTCTCTTTTTTTAGTTTGTCTTGTATTATTAGCACTAACATGCCCTGTAGTTCAAAAACTGATTTGAAACATTGTGACAGTTTTCCCGTCACTGAAGATTAGCCACTGATGTAGTTACGGCACTTTTACTGTCAGTTTGCAAATGTAAGCATGCAGCCTGAGCTCTGTACTTAAAGTAGCCAAAATGAATGCTCAACTTGATTTACCCAACATTTATAAGTGCTTAGTATGCCGAAGGCATATTGCTTTAAAATAACAGGACCAACGTAGAAGACTCAAAAACCAAAGACCCATTTTACTCTCGTATATGTTCATATAATCTTTTGATTTGATCCTACAGCACATTCAGGTAACAATGGTTCAAGTGTGTGAGAGGGAGTTGTGTGTCGCCATAGTGACGGTCACTAATCTTACCCCTGGCTTCCTGCCCAGCATGCATCACTCCCACTCAGCCCGCCCTCCCTCAGTTTCTTTCCATCCCTCTACTTCTCCAAGTCGGCTTATTTGTGTTGTGCATCTTTTTGTCATATAAATTTGTGTTTTAAGTCTCACACTTTGTCATTTCTGCATTCACAGAATTCCATCCGCGTCTTGATGTCAGTGGCTTCCATCTCCTCCTTCAGCCAGCTTATTATCCCAGCAGGGTACCTGATCAGAGCTAGGTGTTGATAGCCTAGATTTTGTTTTTGCCATTCAGCTGACTCCTCAGGACTTGCCTGAACCTCTGCAGGTACTTGGTGTTTGAAGCTTTCATAGTGGCCTCTTCATGGTTCCCATTTGCCTGTGGGATCCGCAGGTACTTGTAGCTGTTTGTTTGTTTGTTTGTTTTTTGACAGTAGACCTAACCACAATTAACTTGTCATACAAGCAAAGGTGTAACAAACAGTATGTCTCCGTTGAGTCCATTAATGTCATGTGGTACACCTGCGATGAGGAAAAAGCCCACAGAGATAAAGGTTGCAAAGAAGGATTAGCAGCTCACCCAATTCATAAGGGGGTCCTGTTAACTGTCCAGCGACAAGGTTTGTAGAAAAGAAATCCTTTAGATCCAACAAATCATTTTACCTTTGCTGTGTTATAAAGAATGTTCCTTTTTTAAAGACTATATTGGAAGGATTTCTTAACATTAATTAGCTTAACTACCTGGGAAAACAGTACTACAGTGCTTTGGTTGAGAACTATTTTCAGACCTGGATTAATACTTCTTTGATTCTTAAGAAGTGTATAAAGCGTGTGTTAAGCCTGTTTAATGACAAGGCAGTTTGAGAAAGGAAAGACATGCACGAACTCATCCAGGGTGGAATAGAACCAGGCCGCACATGGGTCACCTACCAGCACCCAAGTTGAGCCAGATTTTATTCCATTCTGAGAAAAAAAGCAAAAATCATACACTATTATCTGAATTTTTCCCAGAGCACATGTTCTACAGGGTGACGTGGGCAGTGGAATGCAGGGTAATTTTGTGTGTCATGCCCTTCACTTGTGCCATCATTCCCACCAAGCTGCAAAGCGCAATCTTTTCCCTCCCTATTTTCTGTGTTTCTGTTTTCTGCCTGCTTGATTGCAGGATGTGATGAGCGGGGGAAGTCAGACTGCCAGCTGCTTGTCATCATCCTGCTCTGCAATAAATACCTAGATCCAACACTTTGACTGTGAAAACATTGTATACACAACTGCCAGATCATGCAGTCTCTGTTAGTTTATTGCCCACTCATGTATTCGCATTTACCAACACCTGTTCTTCTCTGTCTGCTGCATTCATCTGCCTAAGCCCCTTCTTATCTTTCTCAGTTCTGAGCTCTCTGTTCTCTGAACTTCTCATACAGCAGTCCTTAGCTGCATTGGTGCCCTGGCCCTGCCTATTGCTTCAACCTCATCATGACCTCCATTCAAACCCAACTCTCTCCCACCAACAATGAGCATTTTTTTTAAATACACAATCTTCCTGTTCATATCTGTGCTCTGCTTTCGGGTTCATCAACTAGCCCAATTATATGGGCAATTTTAACTCCTGCTGTGGTCATCACATACCTGGATTGATATATATAAGGGGTATGCTAGAAAACATACAAAGAAATACCTGTGAAGTGGAAACGGTAGCACCCTGAGGATGGGACAGGAAGAGAAGAACAGACAGCAGCCTGCAGGAGGGGAAAGAAAGGATAGGGAAAGCAAGGTGGGAGCAGGAGGGAAAAGAAAAGGACAGGTGGTAGAAGAGGACAGGGGAAGGAGAGGAGGGGTTACCGGTATTCCTGCAGACATGGCTGACAGTAGTTTTTGTCTCCATCTGTCCTTCCCTGTCACTGTCCCGTCCTCCTGCTTTGCTGGCTGAAAGACAGGGGGGACAAGTTACAGACACACAGACAGACTGACAGATACACAGACAGACAGACACACCCACTATCACTCAAAAGCTTGGAGGATGTTTTTCTCTTTGCACATAAAGCATATTTGTTTATATAAAATATAACATTTATTTAAGTCACATCGATTTACAACAATTCTATTAATTATGAATCACACCTCCTTTTTAATGGACCAGCTGTGTAGGTGTACAGAGGCACACTTTCAGCAACAAGCATTCCTGTACTCCACATTATATTACCTAATGCAAGTTTGTTAAGTCTAAAAATAAAAAATAAAAAAAACAAAAAAAACATGAAGGACCTAAAGACTCTGATAAAGTCAGGGTTGGGTACCAAACTCTGAACTTTTTAGGGTACTGACTGAATTATCTACTGAAAACCAACTCACACTAAATCATTCTGTGCCACATTTTAGGTAAGCGTAAGAAAGAGCATGACTATTACTAACTATCACTCAAGTTAACCAAAAGATCTCTCAGGTGTGGTTACGCTTTCAAAAAATAAAAATAAAAATTGTGCAACGATTGCTCTCTAACATTTGCAGAGGAAAATGAAGGGAAAAAAATGGCAACACATCAAATCTGAGGAAACACCTGGTCAAACACAAAGTGCATTGGCTCTGAAGAGTGTCCCATATTTGATTGGCTGAAAGCCACCGAAGGACCTGCAGCTAACTTTCGCAAGTCTTTCGCCAGCGTATAAGAAGTTGAACCCATTGATGGTGAGGAATCTTTAAGTGGCACACTAACAGCTCTATCAATTTCCTCATTGTGGTTGTGGGTCAGGGGGTAGAGTGGTTCATCCACTAATCAGAAGGTTGGGTGGGTTCCTGGCTGCTCCAGCCTGCATGCCAAAGTATCTGTGGGCAAGATACTAAATCCTGAGTTGCAACTATATATGATCAGCTCCCAGGAAGATCTTTTAAATTTTTCTATTTTTCTTCCCTAATCAATTTTGGGATGGTGTAATGGTGATCCTGTGTCATGTGAACCAGTTCCCCGCTTCCCTCTGGCAGCAGCAGGCAGCCATCTGTTACCACTGCAAAAGTATGTGGGCCAACAGGACTCAGTGTGATTGACCTGGTTTACACAGAGAATCTAGATCACTCCCAGTCATGAGATAATCTTGGACATGTTGAAAACCAAACCATTAGGCTCATTAGTAACCATCACCAACATGCACCACAGTATTTTCCCGTGTAAATTAATGAGGGATGAGCATTACTGTGCAATACCCTTCCATTTATATTACTGACACCCGAGTCCAGCTGGGTGAAAGGAAATATAATTCCTTCATATTTGATTATGTATACAGATCACTGAATTTAAAAAACATGACTTGTTACCATAACACGTTCCTATAGTAAGCACTTTAATAGTATAGCTTTGTTTTCTTTGCCTTCCTACCTCATTCTTTTTCTTCTTCTTTTTCTTATTGTTCTGCTTCTTCTGTCTTTTCTGCAGGAGGACGGTCTCATATCTTGGCCTGGGGTGTTCCTGAAAGAAAACAGGAGTGAGAAGGAGTTAGGTTCTGGACATTCTATCTGACTCTCATGTGGGCATCTATGTGTATGCCATATGTACATTCCAGGCTAGTGTGGGATTAGCATTAGATGATAATGCATTTAGTGCCAATGTTAAGTGTCACTGCAGGAGGAGGTAGTGTGGCCACACGCAGATTGTAGGAGTGAAACTTGTTAAGAAAAAAGAAAAAACCTCTGCCAATCTGAATGTTCAGAAATTTTTCTGCTAATTTTGTAGGTTTGATGTGTTTATGTTTGCACTTTAAAAAGCATTTACCTCATCCTCCTCAATGCCTGTCAAGTCCCAGCTGAAGCTCAGACTGATCTGACGTCGCTTCCACTGTTCCAGAAATAGCACCGCTGCACAATCACACAAACGAGGAACTTTAATAAAGGTTACAGTATCATAAATCTCCAATTGCAAGTTTCCAACTGCATCATATGACTTAAAAGTTGACCCTAAGTTTTTATTTTAGAGTTGACTAAACTACTTCTTTTTCAATTGATTCAACGACATAGAGGGCAAGCAAGAGAGAAATAATGCATTTGTCCCCTAATTGCTCTTTGACAGTGACTTTGTGTAATTTAAATTTACAGCTGCCCAACCTGAGCTGTTCCTGTGACTTATTTGTAAAATATATACTCATTTCTAATCGTGTCCATTCTGGTCATTGCCAATGAAGGATTTAACATCTTCCACCTCCCATCTTGCCTTTGTACCAGTCTCCAAACCAGACATCATGGTAACTCTCACTACTGTCCTGCAAACCTTTGCTTTCACACTTGCTGCTAATCCTGCTATCAACAAAATCACCTATTCACCTCTCTCATGTGCTGTATGTTGCTTTGGATAGCTGCCAACAGATGTTTAACTCATCTATCTTCAAAACATCTGCTGAGTGCAGCTTCACTCTTACACCTGTCACCCTCTCTTTCACACAAACTTATTCTGTCTCGTTTCCAGGGACTTGTCCTTTTCTCTCCACTGTATACCTCCACCTCTCCTGGCTCTCTTCCACCTGCTTCCTACTCTCACTACAGATCTTAATGTCATCTGTGAAAATGATACCCCACAGAGACTCCTGCCTGACCTCATTAATCAGCCTGTCCATTACTAGTGCAAACAAGAAGCCGATCCCTGATTAATCCCACTCAAAGCTCAGACATATGTCAATCCTACCACATACCTCACAGCTGTCTTACCATCTTCATACATGTCATCTACCAGCACTCTCACTCTGTCACTCCTTCCTCATACAGTACAACAGTTCCGCACTTGGCACCCTCTCATATGCTTTATCTAGACCATCAAAGACACAGTGCAGCTCCTTCTGACAGTCTATACTTTTCCACCAACACCCAAACATCATGCTGAGAAAGAGAACTACAGATGTGAAGCCACACTGCTGCTCATTGATTGTCACCTCTCTTCTTAACCTAGCTTCAGCAACTCTTTCCCACAGCTTCATGGTGTGGCTCGTTAACTTTATCCCTCTGTATCTACTATGGCAGCGGTCCCCAACCCCCGGGCCATGGACCAGTACCGGTCCGTGAGTCGTTTGGTATCCGGCTGCGAGAGTTGAGACTCGGGTGTGAAATTTATGGTTCTCAGGGTTTTTATCGTTTTTTTATCATTTTTTTTTATTGTTTTTATCGTTAACTCAGTTTCCCTGGGTCTTTTCCCATGTGTTATGCATAAATCTTTTGTTTTTTGGTACCGTTACCGGTTTTATTTTGTTGTATTTATCTGCAACACCTTAGAGGCCAGTCTGTGAAAATATTGTTGGGCATTAAACCAGTGCATGGCGCAAGAGACGTTGGGGATTGCTGTACTATAGCTCTGCACATCAGCCATTTCTTCTCCATTCCTCAGTCATGCTCTCACTCTACAAGATTGTGTCTGGTTAAAAATCCCACTGCCCTCTCTCCTACACATCTTTATACCACCACAGGTATGCCACCTGAACCATCCACCTTTCTAATCTTCATCCTCTTCATAGCTGTCCTCACTTCCTCCTTACTAATCTTCTGCACTTCTTAATACACCATTTATCCTCCTCTGTCATGTTCTTTACATTCATGAGCTCCCCAAAGTACTCCTTCCATCTTCTCAGCATACTCTATTCAGTCATTAGTAGAATTCCATCTCTATCCTTAACCACTCTAACCTGCTGCTCCTTCCTTAGTGTTCAGTCTCATGTAATTTTATACAGATTCTCTCAGGACATAAAATTCAGGTCATAAGATACAGTCCCAATCAAAAGTTTAGGACCACATGCCTTTAAAAGGCCAAATCTGTGCAAAAATGTGGATTGTGCGCTGCTAGAGACCCTGCTTATGCAGTTCAGCAACCCGACCCCGTTCAAAAAGGGAACATTTTGCCTTTGCCATCAGAACGCCATGACAGTGTGACTACCGGACAGAAAATGACAATGAATCCACATTTTGCACAGATTTGGCCTTTTAAAGGCATGTGGTCCTAAACCTTTGATCAGCTGTAAAACAGCCTGTTTCAGTTTAAGCATTGTTTTCAATAAATTGCATGCTCAAAAAAATGTTTTGTCTCACTCCCATTTCTTCTTGTTGCATGTTGAAGCTCTACTTAGAACCTTGTTAAGATCCAACCATGCCAAATATGGTTTTTTGCCATTTTTCAAGTGGTCTTAAACTTTTGATCAGGACTATATCTCTGAGCATTTTCATAACCAGCCCACCTGTCATCTCGGTATGCATATGCAAAAACACATAACCTTACCCCATAGAGACATGAAGATGGCAAAGAAGACAGTGGCAGGGTTATCAAAGAGGTGTGAAGCTTTGGCGGTTCCACAGGCAGTGCTGAGATGCCAGAAGTCACATGCTCGGTCACACAGAGGACACATGGTGAAATTGAGACGCTGGTCACACATCTCCAGACTGAAGAAGAGGGGGAAAAAATATCAAATCTAGAGTGCACACCATTATATAACACGTGGTGTAGTGTTAATGTTTATGACTATAAGATTAACTGAGGCTCTATATTTCTGTCTGTGGATTCACTCTCAGCTAAAAAGGCACATGGATCTTTGGGTCTGTTACATTTAACCACAATAAATGAATGGAACTTTTAACACATAACCACAACACAAGCTTTTCTACTTTGACCCTATTCATACTTGGTGTAGGCTGAATTATCAGCCTTCCACTTCATCTCACTCACACACACACACACACACACACACACACACACACACACACACACACACAGCTGAGCCTTTTGTGCGCCACCCACACAACCCTGACTAAAGCCAGATACAGCAGGTATCTGGGCAATCCCTGTCTAGTAAATGTGTGTATGGGCATATGTGCATGCAATGGCAGGAACAAATCCTTATTTTCTGCATTATGCTAGAATCCGTATTTTAGGGAACATCTCATTCCATAATCACTTTTTACAGTGTGGGATTGTACAATGATTTTCTCTCTCAAATGAAACTGCAACAGTAAAACTAGAGATTTTTGCAGTGGATTTCTAATGTACCTTGGTATATTAGTGTCCATTGTCGCGACTCCATAGCCAAACACAATGATACCCACTATGGAAGCTGGTACAAGCAGCTGGGTGTACACGCCGAGCCATGCAAAGTAAAGGCCGATCTTCTCACCAAAGTACTTCCTGTGGGTAAGGAATAATGCAGTTCATGGTTAGGGCACAGCAGACGGAATTAGTATGTAAAACAGGTGTAAGGATCCTGATGCTGTGTTTGACCCCAAAATAGATTAAGAGGGCTAATGCTCTTATTATTTAGGGTGTTTCCTACCTCTGCAAAGCCTTTAATAGTTGCTTCTTAAAGACTGGTGTACAAATTCTGCCTGAGCAAGATCTAAAGACTCCAACATGGACTTAATTAACCTTAACAATGGATAAATCTGTGCTACTTACTGCAGAGTAATCAAAATAGTATAATTAGTTACACTATTTAGTTATACTATTTAGAAGTACAAATCAACAGAATATATAGTAAATAGCAGCATCAAGTTTTGATTGTCAGAGGTTTATTACCACAAAGCAAATGTGTCCACATGTAATGAGATAAGCAACATTCTTCATTCTGTGTAATTTTGCTGAGTCAATAATTGTGTCAGTACATAGTATTTTAGCCCTCAGCCTGTTGGGTGTTCTATTGGATTTAGGTCAGGCGAGTACGGGGGTCATTGAATGGTATCAGTTTCTTCATATTCAAGCAACTGCCTGCATTCTCTCACCATATGAAGCCGAGCACTAGGTGAAACCCGTCAGTGTAGGGTCTGACGGCAGGCCAAAGGATTTCATCCCCATATCTACTGGCAGTCAGGGTGCCAATACCCAGCATGTCGAGGTCTGTGGATATTCCTCCATGGATATATGCCTCCCCAGACCATCACCGACCCACCACCAAACAGGGCATACTAAATGAGCTTGCATGCAGCATTACATTCTCCACAGCTTCTACAAACCCACGACTGTCACAGGTGCTCGGGGTGAACCTGCTCTCATCTATGAAAAGCACAGGGTGCAAGTAGTGGACCTGCTATGACTGGTGTTCTATGGTAAATGTCAAATGGGCTCCACAGTGCCAGGTAGTGAGCACAAGGGACATCGGGCCTTCAGGCCACCTGTATGAAGTCTGCTTGAGGTCATTTTGTAGCTCTGGTAGTGCTCATCCTGTTCCTCCTTGAGCACATACCAGTCCTGCTAATGGGTACAGCCCTGTCCAGCTCTCCTAGAGTAACTTCTGTGCTCCTAGAATCTCCTCTATGTTCTTGAGTCTGTCAATATTGGGTCAGGCTGAGATATAAAATTTGCAGTTGAAACAAATATAAATTCTTGATTTGTCAGTCTTACAAGGTGGTTTGGCTAGTAAGGAATCATTCATGACCAGTATACACATGGTGACTAGTAACGCCAAAGAACAAATGGGCATGTGAATATCTTAAGAACCATTTCACTAGCTGGCCGACATTCTTATTTTAGGTTTGACAGCATTTTTTAGTAGATAAAGGTGAATGGCATAAACATGAATTGAGCTGCTGTTTGGGGAAGGGCTCTGAGGGTACTGGCGGCAGCTCCCGTGCCTGGCAGGTCCTCATGTACATCTTTCACTAATCATGTATGGCAGAGTCATATTAAATTAAAAGAAAAACAGAGGTCTTCGTGTTGATGCTGTGGTTACTTTACCTGACTAGATCAATGGGTTGGTACTTGTAAAAGGCTGAGTATCTAGCCCACTCTTCATGCAGAACCTGACAGACAAGACAAAGCAATAGAGAGAAAGGGAGAGGGAGAGAGAGAGGGAGAGAGTCGGTGTGGGCGTATTTTGTCATGTTGTAAGTTGAAAATGATTCTCAGAGGTAGAGCTCATCTGTAGGCAGTAACATTCTGATTGGCCGAATTAAACCTCAGTGGATGAAGCCAACAAGCTGCAGTATAAGTAACATTATCCTGCAGCCAAGTGAAATGCAGTAAGAGAGGAGGAAAACCGCATTATGAAGCCTGGTGCTCCTCGTGCTTAAAAGATAAAAATCTAACAAGGTATGTGGTTGAACTAGAACATGTTACAAAAACTGGAGTAAACACAAGGATAAAGACTAATCCTCTCAATTTTCACATTTCAATTTTCTATTAATATTTTGCTTTGAAATTTGAGTCGGATCCTGTTTTTTTGCACTTTGAGAGTTTTGTAAACACGTTAGACAGATGTTGGAAGAAAATCTAATTAAATATGAGATGAGGATGGCAAACTAAAGCTCAGTTGTTCAGAAAAGTGGAGGTCCCTTTTTGAGTTGCTGGGAGTTAACATGTTTTGGACAGCTGACTTGACTCATTCAGTTTTCATAGCTGTACCACATCACTTAAAGGAACAAAGGGGGTGACAGGAATGAAAGGCTGAGTCAACGCACCTGTCTGTCGTTCCTCTCCTCCAGGTGTCCGATGACCTTGTAGTCACCCTGAGCAGTGAGAAGAGAGGATGAAAAGCATGAGTGCACACAGGCGCACGACAACAGGCAGCACAGTGCACTTGTGGAAAACATGTAGAAATACAGAAATTAAAAACACTCAAAATACAGTATTTGAAGTTGTTAAGAGCAGATAATGTGGTAAGAGGAGGTTGTCTGAAGTGTTAATATCAATCAAGTTAGATGTCAGAGTTATTGTCAGTTTTATAGCTGATTAAACCACGGGGCCATGCCAGTGTACATCTTTAATTTAGAGCCAAAGACTTTTCAGAAACTGAAATTATCATTTTAGGTCAGAGAAGGCATGATAGACTCCAATTTGTTCATTTAAATGGATTTTTCTACACACTAAGGTTAAATATGGAGATCCACAGGGTTCTATGCTGGACCAATTCTATTACACATGCTTCCCTTAGGCAGCATAATTAGACATACATTTTCATTTTTATGCAGATGAAACTCAGGGGATCTATGAAAGTAAATGATACACGCCAATTAGCTAAGCTGCAGGAATGTCTTAAAGAAAAAGACTGGATAACCTCTAATTTACTGCTTCTAAAATCAGATCAAACTGGGGTTATTCGACTCACTCCTAAGGATCTTAGAAATCTGATGGCCGCTTGGCCTCATTACCTTGGCTTCCAGTATCACTGTAAGGAATCTATTATATTAAACTAATATTTAGGACTTCTTTCTTCCATCTGTGCAATCTCTTAAAAAATAGAAATACTGTCTAAGAGTGATGCTGAAAAACTATTCCATGCATTTATTTGTTCTAGGAAAAATGACCCAAAGTGCTGCAGCAAGAGTACTGACAGGGACTACAAACGGCTTTTTTTCCACCATACTGGTTCCTCTTCAATCACTGTTAAAGCTGGGATTATATTTAAAATCCTTGTCCTCACAAACAAGGTCTTAAATACTCAGGCCCCAGTAGAGCACTTTGCTCCAGATTTCCTTCTGGTTCCTAAGATATTTAAAAGTGGAATGACAGGCAGAGTCTTCAGCATTCAGGCCCCTCTTCTGTGGAACCAGCTCCCAGCTTGAACTTAAAAGCAGAGAGAGTGTCTTCTAAGTTCAGGCTTAAAACTTTCCCTCTTGTTAAAGCTTAGCTGGGGCTGGATCAAGTGATCCTGAATTTAGTGTAACTAAACACTACAATAGACACAGCTTGCTGGGGCTTTCCATGATTCACTTAGCATTTCTTTCTCACTCACTTGTTTTTGCCTCAGCATTTAATTATCAGATATTCGATTCTGGCTCTCTTCCTCAGTACATGTTTGTCCAGTTTCCTTCCACTCACCCTCAACCTGTCACAGCAGATAGCTGCCCCTCCCTTAGCCTGGTTCTGCTGAAGGTTTCTTCCCGTTAAAGGAGAGTTCTTCCTTCCCACTTCTTGATGCATGTTCAATCATCCAGGTAAGTAAATCTCTAAAAGTTGATTCTGTTCATCTGGACGTAGCGTTTTGTGGAAGAAACGTTTCGTCACTCATCCAAATGACTTCTTCAGACTCAGCTGACTGCAGACTGAAGAAGTCACTTGGATGAGTGACGAAACGTTTCTTCCACAAAACGCTACGTCCAGATGAACAGAATCAACTTTTGGAGACTTCCTTCCCACCGTCGCAAAGTGCTAGCTTAAAGGGGGTCATATGTTTTTGGGCTTTTCTCTCTGTCATTGTAGGGTCTTTACAATACAAAGCGACTGTTGTTCTCATTTGGTGCTGTTTAAACAAAACTGAATTGAATTATCACACACAAAATAAAATTAGATAATCAAAAATTAACACAGAACAGGTAATTCTTCCTTATAATGTACCCGTTAATTTCAAAACTTGAGAAATTCCTGCACTAGTCAGTATTTTGCTACGTCATTTGTCGGAGTGTAAAATTTCTACTCCAAGAATGTTTCCACTCACTGAAAATTGAAATCTAGTAAAACACATTAAAACCATCAGCGTCTCAGGGGACTTTGCACTTACATCGTGAAGAGGGAAGGCAGCGTCATACACGCCTTTAGCTATCAATGTGCTGATGCCTGAAAGAGAGAGAGCAGAGACGTGAGACAACCCCAAGAGAGTTTGAGTGTCATTTATGAGGGGTTTCCTTTTCCTGCTAAGCATCGTGAACTGCATCCTCTGAAAAGACGACAGTTTTTACTTGCATTGAAAGGCAAGTGAGGTTTCAACCAGAAACTCAAACAGCTGGCTCGGCTTTTAAAAAAAAGAAGTGTTTGAGGCACTTACAAAGAGGTGTGTAAGCACATTTTTTACTGAAAAAGAATTAAGGATTGAGGTTAAAATAACTGTTCCAGGCTAAGGGGAAATTAATTTTTAGACAATGAAAAAGAGCACCTCCTTTTATTTATCCAATATCCAGCACTCCATACTTGTGATTCGATTTTTTTTTAAGGATGTGATTTGTTGAATCAATCCTAAAAGGATAATAATAAAAAAGAAAAATGGTTCTTTCCCCACACGTATTGTATAGCCTGTACCATTTTAAAAAGTCTGGTTTTCAGTGTCAGACAGACTGGTTCTGTCTTTTGCCCTTGAAAGTTTTCACACGTTAAATCGTGGCCTGCCCGTTACCTGTCAATGTCAGGGGTGGACGCTGATGCATGACATGATGCGGCATACACAACTACCTCTTCCATCAAACTAACTAATCAATTATCAGTGCCTCAAAGGGGACACAGACCTATGCAGCGATTAGCTGTGCTATTAATGAACATCACGACCAACACACATACACCTACGCATGAATGCTCACTCAACCAGCCAGAAACAACCACAACTCCCAGTGGCCCCTGCTTCAATCTCAGCCTGACCCGGGAAGTATGACCCACTTGTAGAAGAGATGGAGTAAAGCAACAGAGACAGAGAGGGAGAGTGTGTGTGTGGGGATTGTGTGAGCCTGGGTGGGCGGGGGGAGGGGAAGAGAGAAAATAGAGGTTAAAAAGATGCAACTCTATTTTTCTTATCCCTTCTTGCCCTACAGCTTCATTAGTACCCGCTGGCTGAGACCTTCTGCTGTGATAGGCAAGCCAACCAGACATATGGTGGACATTAGAAATGAAACTGGGATCAGCATATCTATATGGGACCGATGGGCATTATAAGTGTGACAGGCAGATGCAACCATAATCTGCGTCTAATTAAATGCTACAGTTATATAAACAGGAAAGAGCTGCACTAACAAAGAATCAGGGGATACCTGATACCATGCAGTTCTTTCATGTTTCATACAGACAAACAGTGGTGGATATATTTTAAATGGAAATTCCAATGAAAGTACAATGAAGCCTTTAAGACAGCCGTCATCTGCGTGCCTTGCATGTTTATTTTCTAGATTACCTCAACAAATTATGGGTCACGCACAATTGCACAAACAAAGAGTGCGGCTGAACATATTGACTTAGCTGCTGAATGTCCCTATGGGTGTCTATGGTTAAAGGAATTGTTATTGAGCAGCCTTTCTAGGAACGGCCTGGTGGGAATAGGTTGTTGGGAAAATGATCTCTGTGTCATCCAACTATGCAGCACAGCACTCATTGTTTAGACAACCACTTGAACGTCACTTTATCTCTCTAGTGCACAAACAGCTTGCATGGCTCTGCGACCTTCTAGTACCTTCTTCTTCCTAAACTAAGAATTATTGCTGTATAACATTTAACTACAAATCTATAGTTTTACCTTTCACAACAGAGAACAAGACAATATGAGATGCTCGGGTGTTATTTAGTTTATCATCATTGACTCAAATAAATGTTGCCTGATTGCTACACCCTGTTTGAAGGGTGCTATAAAACGGGTGTAGTCAATGTGCTGTTATACCAAAGGTGTAACCAAAATGCTCAGTATTGTATACGTATTGTATACAGATCTAGGTAGCTTGGAAAGAATAGCCAGTGGATTTCTTTAGGTTTCTTGAAGATGTTTCACCTTCATCAGAGAAGCTTCTTCATTTCTAAAACCAAATGGTGGAGTATTTAATCCCTAGTGGGATTAACCCTTAAGAGGGCCGTTGACCCGCTATTGATTATGTGCCTCATCACATGAGCCAAGGTATGAAAAGGGTGTGGGTCATTATCAGCAGAGTTTTCAGGTGAAACTATTGTGAGACCTTGGCTCACCCGATCATGTGACCTATTGAGATCAAGTCACAGAAGATGTGAGTGGGCGTTGAGGTGTCTGGGGAGGGATCTCAAAACTGGCTAGTAAGTTGGCAGACAGTTGGTGTTGTAAGCCACCCCAAAGTGGACAATGACAAGACAATGTTGTTTCATTTGTCATTCTGCTTCTTCCTAGTCTGACCTTTATCCTGTGCATCTTTACAGATTTGATGAATTGGGATAACCACCTGTTTAAAGAGCTTTCTTTACATGTGTGCGTTCCTTTTCTTTCCTTTCTGGCTTACAGGGAATGTTTTCAGCCCGGTGTTCTAGGGTTCTGATTACTCCAATGTTGTGTTCCAGAGGGTGGCAGTGGAGTCAAAGAGTGGGTACTGGTCTGTGTGTGGGCTTCTGGTAAACTTCCAATGTTGAGGTTTCCATTCTCCTCAATGTGCACAGCACAGTCCAGAAATGGCAAACTATTATCCTTCTTGTCTTCCCTGGTGAACTTTATGTTTCTATCCACTGAATTGAGGTGAACAGCGTAGGCTTCTACTTCTCTGGTTTTGATTTTGACCCAGGTGTCATCCACATATCTGCAGCAGTAGAAGCCTACAGAAAGTCCAGTCACGTTTCTTCCGAGTGCCTTAGATTACCATGATCTGGATGACTGAGAACCTACACATCCATATTGAATGCAAACATATTTTGAAGCAGGGTTTTATTGTCATAGGCTCTGGTGTAGACCAGTGGTTTAGAGGTTTTTAATGGCACACTAAAGAGCAAAGCAATATTCCCAGCAACACCTGTTTTTATATCTGCAGAAGAGAGTGTTTATGTCATCTGGAACACCAGTTCCTTTTGCATTAAAAAAATAAATAAATGCTTGACACTATGCTAGCAAATGATAAATTCACATAAACTTTCCTCAAGACATACCAGTGTGTCTCTCCACACCATCTGGTAAGAAGCACTGGTGTAGAAATAATCTAAAATGAGTTAGTTCTGGGAGTAACCAATGGCTGACCAAATTTCAGGAGGCTGGGAAGGATATGCTCGGAGGAGTGTTGCTGCTTTCCAGCACAGGTGAATGAGATCAGTTATACTGAAAACTATTTTAGACTAGCAACATGACAATAAAAAAAAAAAAAATGAGTGAATAACTTAGTGACTTCTATTAGACACTGATGCCTTCAGCAAACCACTTGAGATCTGCTATTGGAGTCTATTGGAATACACATTTAAACACTGATAAAGCAGAGGCACAGCAAACTTCTAATGAAATGCTTTGTACCCTCACCTATGGTTTGACAGGTTCGTGCACACACCGTCCGTCTCAGGATCTCATAAACCTGTGGAACATTTCAGCTTGTTAGACTGGAAAAATTGACTAATCTTGAAAAAAAAATATGATACAGGAGGTAGTGATGTAAACATAGAGACTTACTATTCTGCCCCTTGTAGAATTGTCAAAGAAAGTGTCTTTAGATGTGATGTTGTACCTGAAGGAAACACAACCAATGAACACTATGGTACACTATGGCAGGGCTGCTAAGGTTTTTGCAAAACATAGTCTTTTTAACTTTAAACACAAAATACACCTGCAACAACACCAAACAGGTGGCTGTGCGTTACAAGTTTGTGGTTTAAAAAGACAAAACAAAAAAACAAGTGTAGTGACTTTTCGACAATAAATGATTTGACATCATTTGTTGTTTAAGTTAATAGAAGGTTGTGACTATAGCATCCATAGTCAGATCCAACTAAGGACCAGCCCTGGTACCAGACAGTTGTTTTTCTTATCATTACTTAGTCTTATTTTATACTGAAACCATAAAATAAGGCTCTATAGAAAATAAATCTGTGTTCATATTTATCTCACAAGTGTAGCTTGTCCCTGGAGAAGCAGTGTGAAAGAAATTTGGTGCGTCCATGATCTTGATGTGGTACTTTAGGCTGGAAAGGCTTGGTCAGCGTTCTCCACACTGTGCTCATACTGGAGCCGAAACCAGTTTCCTCTTTGATTTCATAACTCTGGGGTAACCAAAACATACAGAGTTAACCATGTTACTACCTGTAAGATACACACATCCAAAGAACTTAACACTGTCTGAGAATTAAAGACCTAACACTGAGTGGCACTGCAGTAATAACCCCACGTGTAAATATAATTATGGATATGACTGTCTCTGTACTTTTAACTTAATTTAAAAAAAAACTGGCATACCAAAGTCTTAGACTTAATTTCTTAAAATGTTACAACCCTTAAGTTTATTGTAATAGCCATTATATAGAAAAAAAATAACTACAGAGACACAATATCAACTTCAGCTGTTTGCCAACCTAACAAGAAACTGCTGCAGTGAGGTACTCTGATCTTACCGTCTTGGTGGGGACTCTAATCTTGAGAAACTCAGCCTCTCGACATAATACTGGCCATGGTGCGTGGACTCTGGTAAAGCTGGGGCCATGGCTCTTTAACTGAAAAAACAAAAACATTCAGTTGTGTTTATGTAAGCAATTTGGGAAATTAAACATGCTAATCAGATCCAAACACAGTTTTGATTAGCCATGATTCAGTGTTTACAAGCACTTACCATGACTGAGCTTGTTTTCTACCAATAATGCTTTATTGCCCTCAACTTTTTATGCTCGGGGAAATGTATCAGCAGACTGCTTGGCTGACAGTACCTGCTGTTTAAAAATGGCTTACCAGACCATCTGCCAATACTGCTTTGCAATCCAATACAGCAGACTTTGTTTTAGCAGGAGAGACCTAAATACATTCTGCTCCTCACTTGATATTTTCGCTTCTCAGTGCTTTTTCCCTTCAGGCCTTACAGTTGACATCTGCAAGGGCCAACTCAACATTTTGCATTCAACACGGAGTTTTCTTTCAAATCCAAGCCAGGTGCAACCAATCCTTGCCATCATTCTGACCTACCGAAAAGCTTTGGCTAGCCTGTTTAGCCAGCAGCATTCCTCTGATATCTATTAAAGATAGATGTGTCCTGTGCTCCTACAGCAAAGCCTGGAGCCGTTTGCAGTTTGGTGCAGAATGTTCCTAACACATTGGAGGTTTGTTTTTTGTGTTTTTACCTCCAACTTCAAATGTAACATATTAATTGTATGTAAGATGAAATTCTGACTCATCTAGCTGCTAATGAATCATGTTCCAGTGCCCACACGGTAATTAGTATATTAATATTAATATGCATTAGCAAAATTTGATAATTGGTTGCTTCAAATAGCACCAAGAGATACATGATTGAATTCCTGAATACGAGCGCAATGACAAAACTTCTTCTGGATTCCTGTGGCTGAATATAAATAGAAAGTATAAGTGAAGCAACACATTTCCAAGAAATTTGTTCCAAAAGTAAATTAAAAAAAAATTGTTTGCAGCAGGCCTGATGGACCTGGTTTTTAGTGTGAGTGAGAGAGTAAATGAAATGAAAGCGGAGCCAGTGGGGGATGACAGCCAGGTAACCTTACCCTCCTTAGACCCCCCCATTAGGTTCTGCAAGAGGGGGGGAAGTGAAAAGAGAAAGGTGGTATGGCAAATGACAGAAACCTGAAACTATTCCCTTTCTCCTCTCGACTCCTACTCTCCTGAGATCTTTCACTCCCCCTCACCACCCTCCCCTCCTCACATATATTACTGTAGCTTGTGCTGCCCGCTAGACACTGTTTCACTGACTGATTGACTGCCTCACTGTCACTCTTACTGCTCTTATTTCATTATCATCCCTCTCCCTCTGTCACATCCACACAGACTTTAGTCCCACACATCGCATACAGCTGAATGCGAAGGCACCTGAGATTCACCTCGCTTTAATAAGATGTATTTGTTATAAATAATCCATATGCGCGCACACACACACACAAAATAAATGTACTTTTACCATTTACAGATGACCAAAATAGAAGAAAAATAACTAAAAGAAACACAAGTAAATTATCTCACTAAAGTACGAGGAGGCTGAGTTGAATGTGAAATTGAAGTGCTTTCACCTTGTTGCTGTCCTGTTACACACTGATCCGTCACATCACAGTATGTTTATGTGTCATGGCAAAAAGCTTACATTTCTGAGCATTTGAGAGGTTGTTTATGCTTATCAGACTATAAAAGGGTTACATAATTCATCCCAAACAGACAGATAATGTAAAAATCAAGGAAATCGAAGACCACTACCACTCCCCTCACGGGTGGTCGATCAGCAAAGATCATTCCACGAGTAAGAGGTGTTAAAGTCCAGAGCAACGTCTAATCAAGCAAAAGCCTGCAACTAAAACTGGTCTACTGTTTTAAGTTTATGAGTCCATCACCGGGAGATCACTGAATGTGTGGTGTGCATGGCAGGATTAAAACAAAAAAGGACATTGCTGCCCATCTGCAGTTTGCTAAAGATCACATGGATGAGCCAGATGGCTGCTTAAACAATGACTGTTATTGGGATGAATGAGACCAAAATAGAAGTTTTTGTTTTAATGAGAAGTTTTATGTTCAGATAAAGGGAGCTACTCCACTGCAGGACAACTGTGTTATCACACCTGTGAAACATGGTCTCATGGTTTTCACCTCTTTTGTATAACAGTTGTATGTTGAAATAAATATTTGAAATATTAGCATTTAGCAATTCCCAGAAATCTTTAGTCGAGGGGGAAACGGCAACTAAAAATATTTGACACCAGACACAGTTTTTCCTTCTAGCAGATATTAGATCCTTTTCCTCAAAAACAAAATCACAAAGTCATATCATACTTTTTTTGGAGAGGAGATTTTCTTTGTCTCCTTTCTTTAAATCAGATACTCTGCATGATGTGTGTAGACCACATTTGTGCAACACTGAAAATACTATAGACCTCAGAGTTTCAAGAAACCCCTGAACATTAGGTGAATATCCTAAGAGACATGTTGTACAATCTGCAGTGCCTGGCCTATATTTGTGGGCATTTCTTGATTTATATTTTAGTTCCTTTTCAATCTCCTTTGATACTCCCACAATTCGTCTAATCATTTCAGGAAAGTTTTCTTTTCTTGTCTAAATCAAAATTTAGATTCATGACAATATTCATAGTACTAAAAGTAAAAAAAATGTAAACACTTCTGGCATAATCAACTGCAATCCTTGTCATAAGTACCATTGATAGAACCGTTGAACTCTACTGCCTGTGTTATTGTTAGATAAAGTTTACAAAATTAGACTACACGTATCCAGAGACTACATTTCCCCCGAGGTCCCTCTGCACCCCCAAGGGTTTACCCTCACCCCTTCCCCCATCTGCCATCATCAAAAACGCAGACACTTAAGTCAATTTAGGACAAAACAATCCAGCAGGTTTCAGTCCACACTGACCTGGTTTTTCTGTGTTTGTCAAGCAGCAAACTGATGGCTGAAAATTTTGCAACCTTACAACTGACCATCTGCCACAAAACTGAGAAATAAGCAATGAATTGCCGATGTACTCCATCTCGACTTGCTCCTTTGAAATTTTTTTGTAGCCCCTGTCACCAGTATTCTGTTTCACCTGCTTAATCAACATTTATCATCTGTCTCCCAGTCCTTTCCTCCCTCTTCCTCCTCCTCAACCTCTCCTCCCATTGCTATCGCTCCATCAAAAAGCAGATGATATAAATACCTTTTAGCCTGGAGAAGGTTAATTAGTAGAGCGATTTCCAATTAGCTCTTTATCTCTGTTGGGGGCGTAACTAGGCCGCAGCCGGGGGCGTCTTTGGGTAGGAGGGTGGTGGGGTATGAGAGGGTGATCAGGTGGGTGATGGGATGGCTGGGAAGAAAAGTATAGCAGGAAGTGGAGAGAAATCAAGAGAGATGAGGGGGGACTGGTTGAGTGAGATAAACGAAGAAAATACAAAAAACAAACGGAAACACGGGCATAGGCGAAATTCCAAGATTGGAATTTGGAGGCAATGCTGGAGGTGGCAGAGTTAAAGATGTTAACATTTTCATCAGGAGTGACAGTATGGACAAGATAGAATGAGTACTTCAAACGGAGCGCTCAGGTTGAGTGTTTGAGAGAAAATGTTAGAGAGGCAAAGCTGAGATGGTTGGACAGGTGTAGAGGAGGGATATAGTGGATACACTGAACAAAGGATGTTGAATATGGAGCTGCCAGAGAGGAGGAAAAGAGTAAGACTTCAGAGGAGGTTAATGGATGTCATGAAGCAGGACATGCAGAGGGTTGGTGTGACAGAGGAGGATAGTAGAGGGTGAGACGTGGGCAAATGATCTGCTGTGGTCCCCTACAGGGAGCAGCCAACAGAAGATAAAGAAAGTGTTTACAGAGCTCAAGTCAGATTTATATAGGACCAGAAGTCCTTTTACAACCACAGCTATGTGGTGGCCTTAAGATAGATGCAGGTTTGAGGCACTTTTATTTTCCAATCCACAAGGTACGTCTATCTTTTACAGCATCTATAGCTAGGTGTTAGGATGACATCAGTAACTTTCTACAGATCTCTAGGTGGTCGGATCATACCTGTAGGTAGCTAGATTTTTTCTTTGTTTAATCAAGTTTAATCAATACCTCATCTAAAACAATAAAGAAAAATAAATTGAGTGATGACAGAAATCCTATGGGTATTTCCTTTGAAAAATAAGCAAAAGAGAAAAAAAATTCAAATACTGTAAATACAGGCTTCAATTACCCAGGTTAATATGCTGCGCAGACCAAACAGCACCGTCTTTTTAAGAGTCACGACTCCAGGACACAATCACTCGTCTGATATAATTGTGGTCAAATCAGATATTTATAAGAGTGCAAATCTGTTGGTCAGAAAGTGACATTTCAAGTAATGGTCAATATATGGGTTATTTAAGTTGGAATAAGGGACAAACAAATTTTGCTCATTATACAGGATGTCCCGGCTTAAACGGGACATTTAGCAGCCCTACACACAACTCAATTCCCATTAACCGTAGCTGATGCTGACAACACTAAATAACACTGAGAAATTTCGAGAGGTGAGTAAAGCTCCCGTTTTGAAAACAGTTAAGTATTAAACACTTTTCATTAACATTAACCTGGCCGTCATACACTTTCATGTTACCCATATAACTATTAGTAGTTAAGTGTTAGCCACATCAGCGGTCTATTATCATTATGACGGTTTTGGTTAGCTGCTAAGGCTAACAATAACATAACTGTTAAAGTCGAGGCTAAGCTGTAACAGTTATTAGTGTGGCCCATCTGCAACATTAACAGAGTGGATTTAACAGTTATTTTGGTTCAGAAAATGCTAGACTGATTCAGATTCTGTTCAGTAGACTGATTCATACTGGATTTCGTAAAACAGTGTGTTTTTCATGGCAATTCACCAAATAAAATATACATATAAAATAAAATAAAACAATTTCTTTCATTTTGCACTAGGAACAGAGTAGGTGGTTTTCATACACCTTAGCCTACTTCTGAAACACACAGGTCTAGACTAGCAAGGTGTTCTGCACACACAAGTG